TATGTGAACACACTTACTTATTCAACTCTGATAAACTATTCAATTTTGTTAAAGCAATAAAACCTTCCAAACTATCAGAAATCTAATTTGTTGCTCCATGAACAGTGTAGTGCTCGAGAGCCCTGGCACTCCACAATCGGAGTCCAAGTGAACTTCGACATCCAGTAGAGTCTAATGTAGTTGTTGGGCCGAGCTCTTCAGGCCCGACACTGATTTCACACTGTCTGAATATTGAAAATTTAAATTCTCATTGAGGAATATTTTTTCATTTGGATAATAATGTTGCCCTTTCATAAACGTTTAACGATTTTTTTAAAGAACACTAGGGCGGTAAAACATTGCAGGCCCAACTCCACCAAAGTGCCCATTAAACTTGTAAATAATGCAAAAGGCTTTATACAAAAACGGCTTTATAATTCAGTTTTTATGAGCATCTTTCCACGGGTAGTAATAATGAAATAAAGCCATTAATCATGGAATGCATTCCCACCATAAACCAACCCGTCGAGAAGCGATGAATCAAAAAAGTTAACGAAAGTACATCTGACTTTGGACTGTAGCTTTAGCAGGAAACCGTGCCTGGAAATTACCAAACTTGTCACCTTTAGATAATATTAACGGACTAGGGGATGGTCCATTGTTCTTCATTATCATCAGCCGAGCAAACATTAACTACAGTCAGTATTGTGAATTTGGCAAACACGGCAGAACCCTCGACATTGAGGGTTAAATTGCCGGGTGAAAATCCCGAATTTCATTAAATTAAAAACCTCAAGGATGAGTTTTTCTGATAGTTATCCTGACAGGCGAATGTAGTTCAAAACCAGTCATCTATTTCCTAGATAGCTGGCTGGCAAGCAGTTAATGTGTATTATTAGGTCCGGGGAGCGAAAATAGATCACCTGCTTTTGTGTTCGTTTGTTATGAGTTTAAATAAAGAACCGTTGGAAAAATGCTAATCGAATGGAACAATTGTGAAACTCCTCGACTGATGTTTTGTTGTGTGCGCTCATCCCGAAAATGAACCATTGTAGATTTTAGTTAAAATATTTCTAAACAAATCGGTTTGTTGACGCGGTGAAGCAGTTTTCAAATTGAAATTTTGATAACTGCCAAAAATATTTATTGTTCTGTGTTTTTTACTCAAATTGGTTGATTGCCGTCAAAATCTGACGGCAAATAAATTTGCATGTTGAGTGGGAGCCAATTCAGGTTACAAATCGCATGAATGAGAAGTGGGAGCCCCAATAACCATGAAATTGGTATGCAATTGAAAGTTTAGGGCAAAAAACTCGATCGGACCAGTTTATTCTTGTAGCTCGATTTCCTTTTGGGTTTGTATGTAGACTCAAAAGTTTGGAACTTAATGTGCTTTGTTCGTTTACATTGCTTAATCTTCATCAACTGCCCGGTTAATCAGAGCTCGATTAAAGCCCAATTTATCTTCCTCTATGCTGACAACGCTTAAAAGGGATATCATCCCAATTAACTAACTAAAATTGGGAAACATGACGAAAGACATTGCCTTTATCGTGAATGAAACCAGTCTTAAATCACCCAAAATGAAGCAAATTATGACCCATAATGTCACTGTGTTGTCTAGCACGTGGTCATTACAGGCTTCTGGTTATGATTTGTTTGCTTGTTTTGCTCATTGGTCCATTATCGATGACATATCGCTGTGTTGGTTTCTCAAGTCTTCGGTATACATTCAAACATGGTGATTAAGATGTGTGGTAACGGTCGAATTGTCGCTAAACGTTCGCTTAAAGAGGAATTTTTAGGTTCTTAAAATTGAAACTTGATGTTGATGCAATTAGCTATTTCAACGTACTTTTCAACACTTTTCAACCCCCATCAACTTTTCTTTATAACAATTTTTGATATTGTCAGAAATCATGGTACTTTGTTCTGTTCTTGAGCAAAGCAAAATAATGAATCCGATGGTTGCATTCTGGGTTTCGGACCAAACACCAAGTTTGCTCGTTCAAATGAGACACCCTGTATGTAATTCGCGAATTATTTCTGAATCTTTTTGTCTAAGACGCCTCTAACCCCAGCAGCAACTGTTTTTGAGTAATTAATTATTTTCCAATTTTTTTGGTTCAAAACTTCACAGCTTTAAATTAATGCTTTGAACAGTGGTATCGGGACGAGTTAAAAATGGTTAAATTTTGGGAGAAGCGTGCCAATATCCAAAGGATACTGCTATATTGTTCCGATCAAAAGAAGACGATCTGACCTAACTTGTATTAACAAAAAATGTCTAGCTCCTCTGCCATTGATGGTCAAAGTTCTTCAAAAAACTTACCTTTTTTTAAATATCAGGAGAATTGTAAGATTGATTTGAATGAAGCAACCGAGTTTATGCGCTTTGGAAAAATGAGGAAATTTTTAGTGTCATGATACGGAAACTACCGGAACTTTTTATTTGGTTGCTGAAATCAACTGCATCTCTTTGAGTGGATATACAAATCCTCTTTTGATATTTTTGTTCTCTTTATAAAATTTTGAAACGCTTTTTGCGCAAAAAAGGTGATTTCGGTTCTCTTGCCAACTGAAAATTTTAGAGATTAACTTTTTCATAAACAAAAGTTAAATAGATTTTATTGTTATATCGGGAAACCGCTCAGATTTTAATGCAATTTGCTGTGGATTTGTTCCAGCGTCAGGGCCATATTTTGTAAAAAACTCGCATCGTCTTTTCGTGAGATTTCTGATAATCGCAATTTGGACGGAAACGCTTCCGAAAGACAACCGGGCCTAAAACTTAAAAAAATATAAAACGCTTGACAGTTAATTTATTATAAAAGAACATTATCATTTGCAGTTAATGTCTGAAATTGATAAATAGCACGGAAACAGGAAGATTTTTTTGAGGCAAAAACTATGAATGCTACAAGATTTTACGAAGAGCTCAAAAATGATCCAAAAGAATTAGTGCGTCAACTCAAAAAAAATCAGTTGATTGCAGTAAACCAAACTAAAAATTCTGGAAGTTTATCTACCAAGGCACTCAAGAATTCATCACTTCCCCAAAGTGGACGAACGCGATTATCTCACCAAAACATGAGTTTTTCGTAGCATCAAATTCACAGCGCGTTTCATAAAACCCCATCTTACCATTCTCCCGATATTTCAGAAAAAATCATTTTTTTGAAGACCTTTTTGACCATCAATAGCAGCGAAGCCAGGCACTTTTTATTAGTAAAAGTTAGCTCAGTTCGTCTTTTTTTGATCCAAATAATATCGCAGTACACTTTTGATCATGTGATTACGGGACACCTTGTAGTGTGGAGAAGGTCGTTCTGGATTAACAGGGACGCGTAAAATGAGTGGTTCTCCCGCTTGATTTCAAAGTGGTAAAGTCGATTTTTAGATAGAACACCCTATATGTAGATACAGGGTGTCCCGTAAGCTCATGATCAAAAAGGTACTGCGATATTCTTTGGATCAAAAGAAGACGATCTGACCTAACTTTTATTAGCAAAAAATGTCTGGCGCCTATGCTATTGATGATCAAAGTTCTTCAAAAAATGTATCAAAAAATAATATGTTTTTTGAAATATCGGGAGAATGGCACGATGTATTTTGGTGAAACTCGCTGTGAATTTTTTCTTATGTAAGACCCATATTTTGATGAAACAATCGAGTTCAGCCGTTTTGGACAAGTGGTGAATTCTTAAGTGTCGTGGTACAAAATCTACCAGAACTTTTTAGTTGCAGGATGAAATCAACTCATTTTTTTAGGTTGATGCACTAATCATTTATTCACAATTTTATGCCCTTAGTAAAATCCTGTAGCATTCATAGTTTTTGCGAAAAAAAATATTTCTGTTTCCTTGCCACTTAACAATGTTAGACTTAACTGCAAATATCGTGATACGAGGCAATCATTGTCAATCAATCTCACAAATTCGTTTTGAATGCCCTTTTCTAATGAAGAAGTGACCTACATGGTCAAAGTATTAGGGTTTTGCGAAGACAATTTGCGTGAAAGCGTATGCGTTTACACGGCACATATTTGCAGTAAATGTCTAGCATTGCTAAGTGACTAGAAAAATTTTTTTATGAAAAACTATGAATGCTACAAGATTTTACAAACAGCACAAAATTGTGAATAAATGTTTAGTGAATCAACCGAAAAGAAATTAGTTGATTTGATCCTCCAACTAAAAAGTTCTGGCAGTTTTTGCAACACGACACTCAAGAATTCTCCACTTGTTCAAAACGGCTGAACTCGATTGTTTCATCAAAATATGAGTCTTACATAAGAACAAATTCACAGCGAGTTTCACCAAAATATATCATAGCATTCTCCCGATATTTCAAAAAAGATCATTTTTTTGAAGAACTTTGACCATCATTAGCAGAGGAGCCGGACATTTTTTGCTAATAAAAGTTAGGTCAGATCGTCTTCTTTTGATGCAGAGAATATCGCAGCACCCTTTTGATCATGAGTTTACGGGACACCCTGCATATTAGCAAATAGCCTGGAGGCCCAAGTTTCTTTCACATGAAAATTTTGAATTGAAAAGTCTTTCGTCTTCGTTGTAATCACATCACAATCGTTTCTTGAAATGCTTCCAGCGGATGGCGGTGTTATATGCTGTTAGCACATTCTCATCTCCTACTTTAAAAAGATGCAGACAACACGGCCATTCTTGCAAAAATATTGTTTTTAAACCTTCTTCCACCCGCCTCCAATTCTGGGGGGTCGCTTAGGGAACCAGAAAATCACACAAGGCTATTTGCCAGGTTCAAGTGGTTTTTAGTCTTCATAAGCTTGTGCATGTTGCGCCAATGTATGGCATTAATAATAAACCGCAAGCGATTTTCTATTTATGTGCTCAGGCCTTGATATTTATGAGCTATTCGCGGAACTGGGGTAGTTAAGAGCTCATTAAGCAATGAGCTGCAGGCAATGGTGGCAGTTAACTAACTACTGCGATAATGGACGGGTTTCCACCACTAGGTCCACTTAGCTTAGGAAATCTCACCTTTTGCGCTTTGCACATGATGGCTAGACTCTGAACATCATGGCTGGCATGCCTGGAATCCATAAGGCACAACGCACAGACACTGAGTTTGCATACCAAACAGTACATGTTGATGGGTTCTTCTGGATGGTCCGGGCACTTGCCGTCCTTCGTCTTGCTCGTGCTGGTTCCGCCGCGTTTCGGCTCGCTAAGAACATGCTTGGCCAGCGGGCCTCTGGCTGGATGGCAGGACTCCCTGCAAGAGTCGCAATAAAGTACCTCGCATTGTTCGCACATCACAGTCGCATCTTTAGCGGGTTCCAGCTCGCACATCTGGCACTTGAGGGTGAGATTCCGGAGTTCGCCGTACCGATCGACAATGCTTTGCATCACGCGGTACTTCGGCAAGTTGTGGGCGCCGTTATCGTCAAAGTACACCACTTTATGGCAGAGTGGACAGGCCAGCGATAGAGCACTGGGAAAGAGCACCCCGTTCGGAGTACCCACGTAGGAGTTGGGGCGGGAGGTGCACACAACTCCGCTATCGGTTTCGCTCAGGATGGACAACTTGTCCGACTCCTGGTAGTCTCCGGACGAACCGGAGGCCACACTTTCCGCGTTTTCCGTAACAACATTTACATTTGCGGTGCCGGCATTTTGGTTGGCGGGTTGCTGCAAGTTGAGGGCGCAATGCAGGCAGGTTCCGTGGTAGCACGGCAGCAGGACCGGATTGTTGTAAAACTGTTTACAGGCGAAGCAGCGCAGCTCCTCTTCCATCGTAGATGCGGCTAAAACTCGACTGAAAAGGCGCGCTCGACGTCTGTTTGAAAACGGTGCGGCGCGCTGTCGGCCCGATCGGAAACTGGCGACAATGGGCGAAGGTGCTCAACAACAGGGGTTGCCCCGGTCTCCCCTACTCGAGCACCTCCGGCTTTACCTGTGCATGACGAACCATCAGAGCACAGAGGCGCCGATAACCGATTAATTAAATCAGAAAATGTGCAATGCATGCGACAAGTTCATTGCATATGAACGAACAACTGTCCAATAGGGGAAGGAGGGGAAGCTCGACCCAATTGGTACCCTGCTCAGCCTACTCTTCCTGAGCCCCTACTGACTGAAATCACTACCTGTGATTTTGTCACAGTGATTAAATAAATCGCAATCACGATCTGTGACGAACGCAAAAATAAAAAGTGATTTAAAACGTGATAATAAAGAGCCACTTATATTTTCGCTGCTAACGCTACTATTGCGAGTTGCGTGTTTTGATCATATGTTGCACATGTGGCGCGACGAAAGAACCATAGATAAAGACAAGTAAAGAACGAAAAAAAGAAAGAACGAACCCAAATAAATTATTTTGCTCGCTAATGAAAGCTTGCATTCACGGGTTCCCATGAGCCTGGATTTTATTGATATTTTTAGGAACCTATTTAAAATGCCCCAAACACCGCAAATTTGCACAATTGAATTGTACAAATTTGCGGTGTTTGGTGCATTTTGAGAAATTGATTTTTTGCGAAGACGTCCACTCATGAAATTTTGGGCAAAGAAATAAAAATTTCACCTGCTAGTTTTTTAACTGCTGCTGCAAAAATATCAGGTTTTTTGGACATTTTGACAACAAAAAAATGGTACTCCACTGAGATATCTCACATTAAAAATCCTGTTTGAAGCCCTCGTTAGTTTTGACACAAAATTATCTCGTGGCTCTTTTTTGCATGGGACGCCGTTTGGATGCAAGAAAAGAAACACCTAAATGTAGCCAATTTACCAACAATTTGCATGGTCTCATCTACAATAGGCCTGGGTAACACTGTGTTGAGTTGCGCTATTGAGTCGTTGCCGCTCTCTGAGTTAGCGAGTTATAACTCATCGGTTAATGAGTTATAATTCATTTGTTAAGGCTTTACGAGACTCGAGACTGGAATTTTCAAATTTAAAAAAGGGTTGTTAACATTTTTTCTGAGCAACGTTCCACTACGTTGTTCAAGCAACTAATAAGAAGTAATCTCTGGTCTAGATTTTTCTGGCAACAGAACTGAGGCCAAAGAAAGTCGACGAGTTTTCTTGTAAAATCGATCTCTTCATTTTTTTGCATAAAATATTCAGTTTGCCAGTATTTTACGGTAAAACATTACGAAAAACGCGTTTTTTCTGTTTAGAGACAGTGTTGACCTTAAAGGGAAGAAACTCCAGTTTCCAAGAGTTTTCCGAATAAACGATTATAAACTTTCGCTTTTTCACTTCGGGAAAATATTTTTGGAAAAAGACCAAGAAATTATTATTAGGGTTTTGTCTATAATTCGAAGCTGCAAATAGTTTTCCAAACATATTTTCAAAGCGGTTAAGGAGTGTTTTATTTTAATTTTTTTAATAAATTATTTTTTATTTTATTTAAATTAATTAAATAAATTTAATTAATTTAAATTTATCTTATAATTTTTCACAGAAAATACCTGAAGATTGCCAGTATTTTAAGTAAAACGAAAATAATGCGATTATTGCGTAGAAAGAATTGCTTAATAGAAACTTTGTTAAAACTGGAATGACCTGAAAATTTAAAGGAACTTTATAAATCTTCAGAGCGATGAGGGCGGCGAATTTTCCCAATTATTTTTTTGTAGGCTTTTGCTCTCTGGTCGTTTTTTCAAGATAGTCCTAATTACTTTCGGTGAAAAACTGAATAAAATTATTTGGTTTTTGTGCCAAATTCGAGGCTGAAAAGGGTTTTCTAAAGTTCCCTGCAAACCCATGAATGGGGCGAATTTTCTAGCAAAATTAATTTTGTCATTTTTGACTGAAAACACCGTATTATTGTGCAGAAAGATGAAAATAATGCTTGTTTGCGGTTTCGATTAAAAAAGAAGAAAAAAGAAAAAATCTTTTAGTTTTGTAATCGATTTTGTAGAAAACCTTAATAGTTTCGTTTTTGTCCCGAATTCGACACTGAAAAAAGTTTTTGTTAATTTTTTACAAGGCTATGAATTTATCTTGTAATTTTTCGAGTAAAAGTCTTCCAGATCGTCAGTATTTTTAAGTAAAATTCTACAAAATAGAGCGTTTTCGAGTAGAAAGTAATGAAAAAAAATAATTTAGTCAAAACTAAAAAACCACACTTTTTAGCAGATTCTACAGCTCTCAGAGGAATGGAGGTGACGAGATTTCCAAATAATCTGTTATAAACTTTCGCTTATTCTGTTCGTTTTTTGATAGAAAGTTGTTTGATTTTATTTTCCAAATTCGAAGCTGCAAAGGGATTTCAAAACTTTTTCCAAAGCGACGATGGATTCGAAATTTATTTCATAATTTTTCGCGGAAAATACCTTAAGATTATCAGCATTTTTAAGTAAAACTTTAGAAAATTGAGCATCCAGAAGAAAGAGTGACTTGGTTAAAACTGGAAAATTCTGAAATTTGAAGACAATTTAAAAATATTATTAATGAATTGCCTTTAAAATAAATCTAAAAAAAGTTTAAAAAAGTCATCAACATTTTATTACTGCGCCGGTGCGTTAGGCACTGAGTTACGAAACACAGGCCTACAACTCAGACGCACTTTGAAACATGCACCATGGTACACCCGCCCATTTGAGCATTAACGTACGTAATCACTAGGTAGACATACAGAACATTGGCCTGCTCGATCACCAGATTTAAATCTCCTGGATTTTTGCACTTGGAATTTTCTTTAAGTCATTCGCTTATTCCACTTCCGTTGAAAATATTCAAGCAAGCAAAATGAGCCCCATACGACAAAAACGCAAGAGGGATTTTATCGGCAATTGAATGAGAACTTCAAAAATTATTTTTAGTTTGCAATATTCCATTGTCGTACCGTTTTTTAATAAAAAATTGAGATCGTTACCAGTTTGCTCGCCAATGATGAACATAAAATTCTTAGTTGTATGGCAATAAATGCTCAAAGGCGCATCAAATCTCATTTTCCTATCTCGACCGGTTTCAGAGCGATAAATGCATCGTCAGTTTTTGAGAAAAACGTTAACACTCGGTATCACGGAAACGAATCATTTGCGGACACACGAATCATAAGCAAGCATCCATTTACTAACACCTTGTATATCAGCAGCCCCTGACCACTTGAAGACTTTCAGATTTCTGTTCTATTTTGTGCAACCCCCAGCAATTTTCGTCAGTTTTCCAATCCATTTGAATAAAACATGTTGCGAATGGTTACCGCTTCCTCTGAAGAATTAATATATAGGGTGTCCCGTAAGCTCATGACCAAATGGGTACTGCGATATTCTTTGACCAAAGGAAGACGGTCTGACCTAACTTTTATTAACAAAAAATGTCTGGCTCTTCTGCCATTGTTGGTAAAAGTTCTTCAAAAAATGTATCTTTTTCGAAATAATATCGGGAGAATGGTACGATGTATTTTAGTGAAACTCGCTGTTAATTTGTTCTCATGTAAGACTCATATTTTGATGAAACAATCGAGTTCAGCCGTTTGGGACGTGAATTCTTGAGTGTCAGATCGTCTTCCTTTGGTCAAAGAATATCGCAGTACCCATTTGATCATGAGCTTACGGGACACCCTGTATTTAAACTAGCTTGAAAAATGCATGTAAATACATAAAAATCTTTTCACAGGCATTTTTAGAAAAATTATTCACTAGTTCTTATTACAAGTTATAAACTAGTCTCGACACAAGTGTTTCCGATCTAAAAATCTGCGATAATCCAACAAAGTATGATTTTTGTCATATTTGCTCTCGCTGAAATGCGTACTTGTTGTTTTGGCATGAGCTAGCCAAAACGGTTACGTTTCACTGAAATATTTATTACTCCGATTAATTGGACTTCTTATCGCCGCACACAATAGATTTTGCAATCAGGAGTACCTATTTTTCAGTGCCGCGAAACTAATGCGTTATCAAGTTCGACTAGGAAATTCAATTTTTCACTAGATGAAATGCAATTTATAACTTTACTGTATTCGAAGTGTGCTTGCCATAAATCAGGAACAAATTATTTTTATTTACTAATTTACCCTTGCTTGGCGGACTTGGGAGTTTTCGGAGGGAATTAAAGCAATTTTTCTTTATTCAATCTTACGTTTATTTCGACTTGGTATAGTATTGTATTAAAATATGTATAAGTCAAACAATTAGAAAAGATAAATAAGTATAAGTAAATGTTACAATAGAAATGCATGGATTGGGTGTTGGTTGTCTCGACATAGTATACGGTATAACACTGATACATACCACGATCTTAATTAATTACAAATAGCGTTTATTTGGCAAAGAATCAAATAGTTAATGCCTTAACAAATATCTCGCAAAGTCTAAATAATCCAGCCCACTTCAAGGAAGTGAACGAAGAACACCATATAGTGCTTAAGCTAACATGTTTTAGACCTACGATATGGTCTGTAATATTTTCTAAATATTTTTTGGTCAGTTTGTAAAATTGTCTAAAATCTACGATCTTGGTAACGTCCGGTTACATACCTAATATACTGTAAGAATAGAAGGACTTTGTACAAAAAATGAAATGTATATTCAATAAATTCTCTTTTTTGTTTGGCACCCTACCAGTCAATTCGATCCAAATATTATTGTTACATATCAAGGAAGTCCATCTTATCAATCTTAAAGGGAAAGTTATACATATTGTCTCAAAAAGGATGGTGCATTGTTACGAGCAAATCTGGTAAAATAAACGGTTTTGAGCTTTACTTAGAACACATTGAAAAATGGCTTGTTTAGGTTTTCAATGCTGAAAATCTAAAAACCCGAAGCTACCAGGGCTTGACTCAATATAACCTTATAACCTCAACAACAATATCTTAACTCAGATTTGAAAAACTACTTGAACCAGTAATTGAATGAACACTTAGCTGCCATAATTCAACTACTGGTGATAGTCTACCGTAGCCGACAGTCTACAATAAAAATAATAAATGCCCTGATTAATTGTTGCTACGATGATATAAATTTTCACTAGATAACAATGGTAAATGCGTTACGAGGGTTCACAATTAAGCACTCAGCACGTGTAAATGTCTTTCTGATTGTGCAGTGTGATTGGTTTGAGCACTTTACAGTGTAATAATTGTGCAACATCTTCGAATACTCTACTGAATTTTCATCAACAAAGGCCACAAAATTCTGCAATTAAGGCGATAAAAATTCAGTTTAAATGTCTGATTAAAAACGCCAATTAACAACAATTATAGATCAATTCGCTTTTTTCTTAAGGCAGATGATTCTTATCATTAATATGGTTGGGGGAAGACACTATGATATTAAAAATTATCATAATAATACTTGGGCTACATAAACTTGTACTTCAACCTATAGGCAAGTTTATACATGCCGTTGGGTGATTGGGGAGTTCCGCACCGATGCGGGCAGCGATCTGGACGCCACTGTTTTTTCAGCGCGAAGACAAACATCCTCTCCCCCTAGGTTTTCCATCTTCATCATCTGGAATCCAAAGTATCAGCAATGAAACAATAGGGTTGATTTTTTGGGCTACCACCAACAAGTCGTGAGTTTAGTATGAATTCAACTACTCAGCCAGGTTAGCGTGTGGGGCGTTTTTATGTGTAATATATGTGTCTTCTTAAGGGAGTTAATTTGAAATGAAGTCAAGTGCCTTCTAAAGATCGTGAACATTTCAAATTGCTACCTGCTTTAGTTTGGAAGTTGCGAATTTTCAAAGGAGAGCGCGCAGTTGAGTAATAACACCCACTTTGAGGGGCAAGTGGACAATATTTTGAACCATTTTAGCAAACTTCGATACAAATTCTGATAAAATGGTTGCATAAAATAACTTTTTTGCAGAAGAGTTGCGCTTAGTAGGTTTACTTTAAAAATGTATTGAAATTGTAAAGGACTTCAGAGTGCTTTTTCTGCAATCAATTGACCAGTTTCTCGTTAGCGCGCCCCTGGACAGACCAGACCAAAGGTGCGATCCAAGGTCCAAAGGTTTGATCCAAAAGATGCCTGGTCTTGTTAGCAAGAAACTGTAAAATTTTCATTAGAATCCCCTGAAGCGCCTTTTACATATTGATAAATCAACGGACGTATTTTCAAATATCCAGAACTTGCTTCGAAAAAAGGATCAGTAATTCGGCTTACCGCGATACACTAAAAAAAATTACTGTCTGATAAAGTTTATGGTCCGCAACAATCTTTACGGAAAAATAATTTGTAATTTTTGCATAATATTTAGAAATTCGTCAAAATTAAAAGTGGATTGAAGGAAAAAGTGTCCATTGTTGGGTTCAATGTTTGTGTTTCGTGTATCAAAAGTGTCAACAACTAAATTATAAAGCACTAACAATCAAATACTGAAAAATCGATTCTAAATTCACTAAGATAGTCAGCTAAAGATTCACTCTAAACTATCTAGACTAGTAGAAGTGAGTGGAACACACTAAGCGCTTCTATATGCTATGGAGATGCCGAGCTACACGTTCTAGTATTGTTAGTAAATTGCGCCTAGTTACCCCAAAGTGAAACACCAGTAGTAGTCAGTGGTAGTCATAAGGCAAAAATTCTATCAACAATGAATGATCATTATCTCGGGGATCTTGAGAAGGTGTCGCATGAAAAGGACAAGCTAAATTACCAAAGATTCTGCTGCCTGACTTAATTGAAAAACGTATTATTTTTCTGCTTGAAATTTACCATCTAGTACAAGGAACAAAATGGGGTTCCGTTAAATAGTTAGTAACTTACACCCATGTTAACACCAGAGCTACTCAGTTCACCTGACTGTTTGTCGGCATTCAGTGGGCACACTAAGTCGCCGTAATCGGCTTCTCCTTTGCTTTTTTTCCTCTTGAGCGAAAACTGCGACTTTTTCGCCACCTTAAACAGCAAAAAACCGAAAAATATCACTTAATGCAAACTCCAAAAAGGTTCCACCTACTTTCAATTTGGAGCTGGGAGTTAATGGGGTATAGCCCAAGGTGGCCTCCAGTTCTCTCTTCTCCTGTATGATATCCTTGCCCAATAACTCTTTAAAGTGCGTGTTCAAATGCCTCCTCAGCAACGTTTTGCCTGGCGGAATCGACAAAAGCGAAGCCAATAAATCCGCTGTGAACTTCGGCTCGAGAACCATCAGACCACCATGAACGCCAGCTCCGCGAAGATTTGGCGCGTATTCAGCCAGATCCACGGCACGAAGCCACTCCATTACTCTAAACAATACATTCAATTTTTCTTAGGTGAAATCCCATTGAACTACCATGTACCAATGCAAATACGTTTCGTATGACTATGGTACGTTTGATTCGACTTTTTTTACCTATGAGTGGTCCATAAGGATATCTGCTTAGGGGTGGATTTATCCGGGTCGTCCGGCAGCGATCTCCTTTGCAAGCAGCTGGGCTCGTAGTTGTTCTCTCTTAGCACCTGGATGCCTCTTTTAATACTGGCCACATGCAGCAATGAAGTAACATGTAGGAGGGCCAGGTCGTCAATTGTTAGTCGATGAAGAACTCGCCCATCCACCCGGTTGATGAGAAAGTTTTCTTTATACTGTGGTAGACCGGCGTCGTCCAGCCATCTAGAAACAAAGAAAGCAATGTGGTTCCTTTAATAGAATCAACGTCTGCAGGTTTAAATTCCTTATTCCTCTCTGGATGTTTTGGCGATGGAAAAATTAATGTTACTACTGATGGAAGCAATTTCTTAATTTCTCCAACTTTCGGACAGAGAATTTGAAGATTTGAAAAACTGACTTATTTACTCCATCATTCAGCACAGGTAAATGGTGAATTTCTAGTGCCCATCACTGTGAATGTGCCATAAAGCGCAGTACCTACCGAAGAACCCAAGCGGTGTCAAGTTTGCCAGCAAGAGACAGATACAAATCGCTAGAACAGTTCTCGCCGGTGTCAATCAAAGCCAGTTGCAGTTTCTTCTTGTGCAGCGGATTCTTCACATTCAGCTCTTTCTCGATGTCCGCAATCGAACTTTCCTGCAATTGCTGGCCATTTTTCACCCAGCGCTTCGCATCCGGAATGTACTGATCCAAGCCGAGGTCTTGCAACCAGTCACAGATATTCTCGGTGTCCCATTCAGCAAACGGCTTATCAGGCCTGAAAAACGCTCGACTATATTGAAGTTTTCGTGCCAAAGTGCCAGAAACTCACCTGGGACTCAATTGAGGCTCGCTCCAGCCCAATCTAGCGGCGGCAGTGGCTCTGACTCCACCACGCTGAAACTCCCCAATCCCTGCAGGCAAGTCTTCCAGATTTCCAGAACCCGATCGCTTCATTTTTCCGAATATTTTCTTGATGCCCTTGGTCTTGTTGAATGTTAACTGGGGCGAACTAGGCGAGTTTTCTTTCGACGATGTACCATCCACAACCGTTTTTTCAGTTTCGGCTGCAAATGTGCGTTTTTGATTAGATGGGATTCACATGACTAAGTATTCGTAGTTAGTGTCCGGGCGTTGCATTAGAACGCATTTTGTTGGAATTTTTTAACAGACAATTCTTTCAAATGCTACCAACTCTGGTTCAACTAACAATCTTAAACATTCACAGCTGTAATAATTAACTGAAGCTTCCATTCATCACACACTACGCAAATACAACAACAAAGGCAGCTCATTTAGTAAAGTAAAAAAAAGTTTTAAAGTGTTCTAATTGGCGAAAGAAAAATTGTGCAGTAGGTTTGGATGATAACAGTTTCTTTCATCGGGCCGCTCTTATGCTACACCTGCTACTTCTACAACAGTCCCATCAAAAAGCCAACTAAAAGTCTGAGCCATTCCAAAGCGTGATCAATTCCAGTCAATGTTGTTACACGACTCTAAATCAAGCGCCAGCAGAAGAATGAAGATAAGTAAACGATGGTAATTAATTTTCGGAGATTTGCCTCGATGAAAAGACGGTCGATGTTTAAATCTCGCCAGTTTCACCCAGAGAATTCCCCAATGGATTGAAAGTTAAAGTGGTGAAACTAAGCTTGCCAACTGCCACATTTACAGTCACTGGAACTATATCACCTAAATTGGGCACTGAGAACCCCCTCATTCTTCCACCCCCCATCACCATGTGCAGATGTTGTAAACTGCTGTTCCTACCGAAAGCTACGCCCTTTTTCTGCGGATTGGCGTTGTTGTCCACCATGGCAAACATGCCTCCATTGGAGGCGCCGTTTGCTACAAATTGCTGCCGTGGCAAACTGCCATACTGAACGTCGATTTGCCGCTTGTAGCTCGATGGTGGAGTCTGGAAGTTGCACAATAAATTACAAAAAGGCACTTGAAAGTCTGTAAATTTTCAACTCACCTTGGGACGAAGGATTTCGGTTTGGTACGCGGTTGACTCCACGTTTCTAGCGGCTGCTAACGGCATTCCTACAGGACTTGGCGAGGGCGACACTCGTAAGCCCTAAATAAACGGTTCATTCATATTGATTTAACATTTTTTTAATCCTACCATTACACGTTCCAAATCACATTGTTTTGATTGGGTATTCGTGCACTCGCTAAGAACTTACCTGAATAGAATGCTGAGGTGTCGAAGTCAACTGGCCATGTGAAGCCGCCGGTATTCTTGGCATTACTGGAGGCTTCTTACCATCCGAGTTATTGTTAAACAGGCTGTTTCTCAGCTCCAAATTTTCCCGTTCCAGCGATGCAGAGTTCAGCTTGAGTTCGCTCATAAGTGACATCAGTTCCAACTTCTGCGTTTCCAGGGAGGATCTCGATAGGACCTCCTGTAACGCATTTAGAACTCGATTGATCCCACTGGCCGGCTTCCTTGCATCGTCTATTTACCCTTTGCAGCTTCTCCTCGGCATCAGACAGCAACGTTTTCTTCTCCTGAAGCGTCTTCTCCAGGTCCGAAATCTTGTCGGACTGCGCCTCGATTTGCTCGGTCAGAACTTGCACTTGCAGCTGAAGACTGTCCTTCTCGTACTGGACTTTGCGTAGCTTCTCATCCTGCTCACCTGGCTAAACAAAACATCATCATCATCAAAATTTAATAAAACAAAAAAATCAACAATACAAAAAGCCAATATGATCTCGTTATAAAAATGCAGGGTTTTCTTTCCTGTCGGTAATTCGGGGTCTACCTTAGGGAAAGGCGGTGGGGTCCAATGATACCCACGCTCCCCACCGTAAAAGCAGCAAGGTGGGGGACCTAAATGATAAGCGCAACACGGCATTTCATGTCGATACCGCGAACAATCCCCATAAATATCAGGGTGGCTTCCCCGATCGGAAAATCTATGTTCTCTATGCTCCATGAGCATGGGACTACTCCCATAGCGCTGCGGATCAGATCTAGAATTAAAATGTCACCAAACTGCTTCTAGAAGGAACTTTCTGTACCTTTCGTGCCTTCTGTGGAAGCTTTCGAAGTAGCCCTCATAGGGCGGCGGGCAACAGTACCCATTCTGAGTGCTGTTGTATAAATTACTTTGGAAATCGTCCAGTCGAGGTGGGGTTTTAACGTGAGAAGACCGCGACTTTTGATCGCGTTCTTCTCGTTTTAAATGCGGGTGTCTTCGCCTGTCCAAGCTGCCTGGGGCTGACGGCCCTAAAAAACCAAAATCGCTTTTTCTGTTAGTCTGCAATACTAATAGGTTTGAGGGTAAGGAAATCTCTTCAGTGACCTGTGGATCTGTCGTTACTTCGCCGTTGGGTTTTCTCTCGAAGAGATCGGGAAATGGGGGGCTTAGAAAGGGGTGGCGCCTCGTGACTGAGCTCCTCCTCCATTCTTAGGGGCGACTGAGTAGGTTGCGGCGAAGTGCTGGGTGGGGAAAGTGGGGAATGCTCTTTACGGATCCATTGGAAGTCATTCGTACACCGTGTTGAACATTTGTCTGAAAGCCACCATAAGTAAAATGGGACCTCGACAGGATGATTTATACCTGATTAGGCACACTATAAATTAACTAATTTCCAGCTTTACCTCCTAAAGTCCCTGTCCTTTCAGACGACGTGGTAGACAAGTCTGAGGTGGATCCATCTTGATTAGAAACGCTGCCCGACCATGCCTGGTTTCGGTCTTTTAACGTAGAGTCGTCCTCAATGCTAGAGTCGTCTTCGTCGCATCCTGCAAATTTCGCAATTGTTCAAGTGGGCCAAACTTTCAGGAAATATTTAAAGCCCTCGTCCTACATTCTAGACCATCGAATCGGCCCCAGACAAGTTAATTTCTTATCCGGGTTTCCGTATTAAAAGCGTGGAACAGGATTTAAACCTCCCAGAGCTTTTAGGGCGCAGTTGTTTCTTCCAAACGAGGCATTTTTATTGGAAAACTTCGTTCACCGGATAATTCGCTGGAATGAGCCAGGTTTATATCTAGTGCAGAGCTTATGGGTTTTAGTTAGAAGAGAAAAGTGAAGCTTTTGGTTTATTTAAAAATATATTTTAAGTTATGCATGAAAGTGATGCTCAATTGCAGCCTGCCACTGTGCATAAAAATTAGCGGCTAAGCCAAAATAATTAATGGAAGGCTAAGATCCAGGCAATTCATGAAGTAGAAGGGGCGCGTCCCGAGGAACAAGACTTTGGAAAATTAATTGCGACGGTATCAACCACAAAGACAGGTCAAGTGAGGGCGAAACGAACAGTATGTTTTTTAAATAAAAAACACAAAATGCTACTTACGTTCGTGTTAGCGCACTAGAACATGTAAACTAGCTTTAGACATAAATTGACATACCGTTTGAACTATCGTGCATACTGGCTTGTAAGTTGAACGTGGAAAACACTCGAAATCACAACAATTCAAATGGCAAAAACACAAGTGGACGCGAGCGTCTGCTTAAACAAAATCTACATGTTTCGAATCTGGTCTATCAGGTGGCTATTTTTGGATCTACGATCTGGACCGATGCCAAGCAGAGGATTAACTGGATAGCTTGGCCTATTTATTAAACTGATTATCTGTAATCCTCGATATTTTTATACGGACCATCCATGTGCAGAACTTAGGCCTTGTCTCGTTCCAAAAGAAAACAAAACCCCAAAGTAGCGTACATATTTGCATGTTGATGAGTCCATTTTCAAAGCGGCACATGTTTTCTATCTGCTCATCGGCGAATTTAAAAACAACCGCGGCTTTATTTGGTTTAATCACGCTAATTTTAGACCGAATACTTTTCCATTAGAGTCCAGGCATGCATGGGGGCGTCTAATTAACATTATTCTAAAACAATATTGCGGTTGAATCTATACAGTGGCTCGCACAAAAAAAAACAGTATTAACATGAAACTTTTCATAGTGCACTACCAGGGGTTTAACGTATTTATGATGATGCCTGCTCTCATTCAAGAGTCATCAAAGAAAAACATTCGCAAATCATGGCATATCAAGATGAAACGGCTCGAAATTCCCCAAAAATTGTCTAAAAACGTGTACTTGTGTATGTTTATCTTTGGATGAAACCCCGTTTCGTTGACGAGTTGAAAGGTAAAACTTGCCTTATGAATGGCAACTTTGAACACAGCAAAGGGACGACAAAGCGATTGATTATCTAATCGCGTTAGTTTTACAGTGTTTGGAATGTTTAAAAAACCTCAATATCGCAATAGTTTTTTCAGAAAATATTCAGTTTGTCAACCGAACCGTCAGCCCTTTGTGTCTTTCCAATCGGGTTCATAGCGGGAACTGATTTGGAGCCACAGCAAAGTGCGGTTGATCATCCTGCCTGCTAACTGTAGGAATAAAGTTTTCAATTTGGTGGACATTTTTCGTTCCGGAAACGGCTCTTGGATGAGCTCTGGATGGCCAAAAGCCTGCACATTTAGGACTTCGATACTCCAACACATTGAGCTTGTTACACCCGGTACAAGCAGAATAGAATTGCGAAGTTTACAGGAGCGCAATCATTTGTTAATTAGGCAGGACTGTAAACCACATTGAATTGAAGCGATCGCTCCTTGACCCGGAAAAGATAAATGAAATATTTAATTGCCCCTCGTTTATCATAAAATAAAACGGGCTTTTCGTTCCGACCATTATTCCGGAGGGATTAATGCGGGGCACTTTTGCATTTTCTATGCCTGGCTCGCTCACATTCATATCGATCGCTGTGAAATAGTTATAATACGCAGCATCCGACACAATCCATCCATCAAAATTGAAACAAAAAAATACAACCACCTACCTCGAAAAGATTGAGCGCTGCTTCCACTCACGCGCTCTTCTTCTGTTATGGTGGGCAACCCTGCGTTGATGTAGAGCTCTCCTTCGCTGTCGCTGCTCCTTTCTAAGCTGTCGCTATCAATGTCTCCATTCCCTCGATAGCCCAAGACAGCTAAGAGATCATCGGTGTCGGGGGCTCGATGCTTCAATGATGAGCTGGAAAATAATAACTCAAGTCCCTCCAGCAAGGTCTTGTCCAGCTGCATACCTGCTTCTATTGCCACTGGTTTCAGTCTTTCTCTCCTCATCGTTGCTCTTCAGGTCGATTGTCACGCAGTTCCGTCTTCGCAGCTCACCAACATGTTTCTCGCATTCACTTTTCACATTCAGCTTGGCCACTGCATCGTCACAAAACGTCTTTTCCACGTCTTCAGCCACCGAATTAAAATCTTGAACGGCCAGCTCGAAATAATTCTCATCGAGCGCACTTTCTTGAGTGTTTCTATTTTTAAAATCACTTTTGTTACTGTTTATTATGTTTGTAGTGCAGTCGGGCTTCCGCGGTTCGTCGCTATTTTTGGCCGAAAAATTCGGGGAGCATTGGTGGATATTGTCCGGGTTCCTGGGGGGAACGGGTGGCGGTTTTGGGACCGGCGTCATCTGGCGGGACTGTTTCTCCAGTACGGCCACAACTGCCGCAACAACTGCCCCACTTTTGCACACTTCTCTCATCTTTTTTGCTCAAACTCTGAAACCTACAAACACGTGTGCCCAACCGTAAAACATCCAGCACAAATTGCGATTCATTTGGCAAAACTAAGGGAACAATTTCCGCTAAAGCTTGCCGTTTATTTTCGTATATCGGATTCTTTTGTTTGGCTGCCAGACGAGAGGGATCGGGACACTTGAGCATTAGTCAACTTTGGATTGTTCTGCATTTTTCATTTCGACAAATGACAAGTTCGGATGCTCTTAATAATGGAGCTGAATCGAATACAAGGTTATAGATGCTACGAGTAAAATACCGCACATATATATTTTTCAGAATCAGAGAACATTTATACTCACTAGAAGTATAATTAGCTAGTTTACTACCCACTGGAAAATTCCCAGCGTTTTCACGATTCATATTAGAGTGTGAAAAAGTATGTGACCGTGTCAGGGACAAATCCTTTTAATAAAGTCCGCCTGTTTGTCCTCATAGCGGACAATCCGAATTAACTGCAGGAATTTTCCGGGTGAGACTGCAAAGCCCAATCGACTCTTCCCCATAGGCCGCTAAATTGATACGTTATCCTAACCGACAGGCTATAGGGGTGCTAAATAATTACCTGGCTATACATTGCCGCTTTTACTCTGTGCTACATAGGGAGAGATAAAATCTCAATCAACTTAGTCTTCGATGACTACATTTAAACAGCCAGCAAAATTACAACCGAAGGCCATATTTGGTCGCAAAAAAATTAATTCTTTCCGCTTGAAAATAAAAAAACGTGCCATTCGATAACTGGCAAGTGAAGATAATTTTTATTCATGTCACTGCCATGTACGGAATGAATTCATAAATACCTTTCCTATTACCGGCTCTATAAATAACCGATAATAATGTATGGAATGATAAATTTTCAATTATGGACAATAGCTTTGCACCCGACGTCACTATTTAAATGCGGGAAGCTCAAATATACATGTTGACTGAAAATTGGCATCATTCCTCTGGATCAGTGACTTCCATGTGACTACCAGATCTTTTTGTGATGCAAAAACTACCAGAACATTTTAATTCGTAGCTGGAAATAACTGATTTATTATTTTATAAAATCTAGTAGCATTCATGCTTTATGCGCAAAAAATGATTTCAGATCAAGTTGCTGGTGGATGTCACAATGAGGAGGCGCTCAAACGTGCTGGTTTGTGTTTGGCTGCTGTTGCACTTGAAAGAGCGCTTTCCGCCCTATAATGCATAAAAGTTTAGCTTTGACGCCACCGTCCGGTATTTTTTGATGAATTTACACAAGTGAGCGCCTCCTTTTTCAGCAACTATTTTCTGAACGTTTTTTAAACAATTTATTCGTCCGAGATCAGACTAGTTAAAGATTTGGAGAGTTTTGTATTAAAAAGCGACAAGAACATATTAGAAATCCTGAAAGTTTCCTCTTCAAGACATCATCAGGGATTTTTTTAGGATTTTATGAAAGTGCGCTTTGATTTCCACAGCGCCGTTGTGGCGACCTTTGAACAATTAATTTCTACATACCAGAAATATATGGATGTTTAGGTGCTGTTGCACTTGAAAGAGCGATTTCCGCCCTATAATCCATAAAAGTTTAACTTTGGCGCCACCCTCAGGCATTTTTTGATGAATTTACACAAGTGTGCGCTTTTTTTTATGAACTATTTTGTGAACGTGTTTTAAACAATTTATTCCTCCGAGATCAGACTAGTTAAAAATTTGGGGGAGTTTTGGATTGAAAAGCGCACAGAACATATTTGAACTTCTGAAAGTTTTCCAGTCAAGCCATCATCAGGATTTTTTTAGGATTTCATAAAAGTGGGTCTCGATTTCAACAGCCACTTTGTGGCGTCTTTTGAACAATTGAGTTCTTCATGACAGAAAGATTTGGATATTTGGCTGCTGTTGCACTTGAAAGAGCGATTTCCGCCTTATAATCCATGAAAGTTTAACATTGACGCCACCCTTAGGCATTTTTTGATGAATTTACGCAAGTGTGCGGTTTTTTTGTCAACTATTTTGTGAACGTGTTTTAAACAATTTATTCTTCCCAGATCAGACTAGCTAAAAATTTGAGGGAGTTTTGTATTGAAAAGCGCACAAAACATATTTGAAATTCTGAAAGTTTTCCAGTCAGGCCATAATCAGGATTTTTTTAGGATTTCATAAAAGTGGGTCTCGATTTCAACAGCCAGTTTGTAGCGTCCTTTGAACAATTGATTTCTTCATGACAGAAAGATTTGGATATTCGGCTGTTGTTGCACTTAAAAGAGCGATTTCCGCCCTATAATCCACAAAAGTTTAACTTTGACTCCACTCTCAGGCATTTTTTGATGAATTTACGCAAGTGTGCGCTTTTTTTTATCAACTATCTTGTAAACGTGTTTTAAACAATTTATTCCTCCGAGATCAGACTGGTGAAAAATTTGGGAGAGTTTTGTATTGAAAACCGCACAGAACATATTAGAAATTTTGAAAGTTTCCCAGTCAAGCCATCATCAGGATTTTTTTTAGAATTTTATGAAAGTGGGGATCGATTTCAACAGCCACTTTGTGGCGTCCTTTTACAATTAATTTCTTCATGACAGAAAGATTTGGATATTTGGCTGCTATTGCACTTGAAAATAAGATATCCGCCCTATAATCCATAAAAGTTTAACTTTGACGCCACCGTCAGGCATTTTTTGATAAATTTATGTAAGTGAGTGCCTTGTTCAGCAACTATTTAGTCAACGTCTTTTTAAACAATTTATCCCCCGAGATCAGACCAGTTAAATATTTGGGGAGTTTTGTACTGAAAATCCCAAAAATCATAATTGAAATCCTGAAAGTTTCTCCGGCAAGCCAGTATCAGGGATTTTTTGAGCAACTTATGAAAGTGTGCCTCGATTTCAACAGCCAAGCTCTCCAACTGAGCCTAAGAAACCTCCTTCTCAGAATGCAAAGTACAACATGGAGTGCATAATCAGAACGAATTTTTACAAACACTTATTGCGTAAACAACATGGAATGATGAACGACGTAATTGCAAATCTGCCTTATTTGGACAATCAACGGGCCTCGATTAAAGCCGAAGAACAGGAAATCGGTTACACACAATTAGGCGCAACTGGACTTAAATTGCAGCATCGATGCAGATTCAATGCGTGATCTTGATAACAGTGTCGTTGATGCATCAATTACAAGTAAAAGGTGTGCAACTGGAATGTTTGAGTTCTGTGTCCAAACCAAAGTTCAAACGGTACATCAGCTGCAGAAAAAGAAAACGCCACTCAAATGTTCAATTCCCACGAAATTCCATTTCCCGTCTTATTATTAGGTGGATTTTTTCCAATATCGAAAACAGGAAAATCGGGCCCGTCTGGATCAGTGTATTACTATTCCGACAAAACAGGCATCAGATCAGTTTCCAGATAAAGTCAACGTTTTTGTTCGCGCTGGAAGAGACACGTCGAAGTTTTGCGACTTTTCGAGGACTATCATCAACATTTAAATGTGTCAATATTTAAAGTTGACATAAATATTTGCAATCGATTAGTTGCAAGGTAAACGTATGCGAAGTGTGTTATCATTTCAGCTTCGGTTTGAGCCAATAGTTTGAGATCTTAATAAAAAATAAACGAGTCTTTGATAAAACTGTCCGTCTTATGAATGATCTTTGAAAATGTCCACCGCACATGTGAGCGCACCATCAGGAAGAAATTGCAGTAGACAACGGCTCCAAGCCCTTCACAGTCTGGCAACCAAATGATTAAACGTTTTCCTACAAATAAGACTCAATATTGCAACATATCAATGCCCTGTTGATAATCGAACTTTTCCAACTGGCACAGCATCTTTTACACCCTAAAAGAACCAAAATAACAAACAAGGGGGCTGTTTGGTCCGTGTTTATTTGGGGACTCCCAGCTTGACGCTTTTAGATCATTAAGCCAGACGCGAACGTGCATGCAAAATAAACACAGGCAGATGCATTAGACGAGATATACTTAGGCTAGTTAATGGTTTTCTATTTAGAAAAATTCTTCGTTGGACCTGGCATTTCAACGTTTTATCGTTTTATTCCAAACCATCCGTCAATAACAACAGTTTATCGCGTAGTTTGCTTTTCAACGCATCGTAAATGGTGCTTATCAGTATCAGCTCTTCGATGTGAACACGAAAACCACCCTTGATGGAGGCCATGATAGGAATTGCATGGAAATAATAGGGAGTGTCTTGGGAAGCCGTAAAAATCGAAGGGCAGAACAATGAAGTTTGCCTATGAATAATAAAAAGAGGGCGGTAACTGTCTGGTGGCTACAGATACAGAACATTAAGCGCATTCATTCTGTCGACCAATAAAACAAATCGAAACGTTTATTATTTTGTTTTTAAACGCTCGCTAAATGGTTTCCGAGACCGGCATTAGACTAGAGGAAAAAAACACACCTAAAAATATCCTTACTTGTGGAGCCGATTAAACTGCAAGTATCCAATCAAACAGCAGCGAAAAACACTTCAATAAACGTACATTTTCACACTAAAGTCGCCGATAACACAAAGTAGTACCGATAAGACTGCAATGCACCGTACTGCATCTTAAAAGTGGCACTAAAAGAATATTTACGATTTCCGAGCTCTGAGTGAGGAGAAGCGTCCACAATACAGACCCGATTTAACACCGCCGAGTTTGGCGACAGCAGCAACTGGCTGATCGCTTGAAATAAACTAAACACTAAATTAGTTGTTTAATTTTAGTTTAATTTTGTACGGAGCAATAGCATCCGACGTGCCCATAAACCATTTTATTAATTTTGTTTACAGAGCGCACGTCTGCTCAACGTTTCGGTTGTTTGATTTGTCAGTAGAAAGCAAAATAATGTGAACATGTTGTTTTATAAATAAGTAAAACAGACCCAGTATTATTAAAAAGATTTTTCATAAACAACATGATTTAAATTGGTTGCAATTGAATCCTATGCGAGTTATGGGATGAAATCCGGACAATGGCAGGAATTCTTCCATCCGGAATTCTTGGCTCTCTATCAGCTTTAAATATTCCCCAAGCGCAACATTGTTGGCTGCGCTTAGCGAATATTTGCGAATATTAAATTGCCCTAATTTTTGCGATAATTGTCACAGCGGCGAATTTGCTGAAAACACATTTAGAATAAAATGCAGGTTTCCTTTTCAAAAAAAAATAAAAAATCAAGAGATCATATTGGCTTTGGGCATATGGGGCAATCACACTTACCTGACTGGCAACCGGTGAAGTGAAAGTAGCATTTACCTGAAATGAAGAAAAAGTTTAGTGATATAAATACGAATCAACAAAACAAGTGTTTGCTGGCTGTTTTTGCGAAAATGCAGGCTAACACGAGGCCAAATTTTACGTCTAAAAAGGCGCTGTTGTGGCAGCTTTTAGGACAGTCCAGGCGCCAACAAAAGAAAGTCCCGCTAATGAAACGTATTAATGTAGAAACTCCAGGCGTGTTTCGCACAATGCGCACGTATTCCAGGCCGAAAAACCCTTTGACCTTTGATCTAGTTACATTATCCAAGCCAGGAATTTCATTTGCGTGTTTCACTAAGGCTCTTAAGGCCTCCACTGCTTTGATTTCTGTTGAAAATGCAATTTTCCCCGCAAAATCCCCCCTGCAGCTTTAAAACAGCTTAATTGTTAATGACTGGAATGTGTAATTTAGGTTTCCCGGCATTAATTTTGCGTTTTTTACGCAAGAGTAATTTGGTATTTGCAAATTGCAACATTTCGAACCCCAATGTGCTAGCATTAAAAACTGAGCTCGAGTAAAATCGACTTTAGTAGTTTCAAATTCAAATTCAACTGGTATTTGTCTTGCTTAGGTAAAAATTATACAAAAAGTTCTTAGTATTTTCATAATTTTCAGTCATAGTGTACAAAGAAGTTTAAATAAAACTAATTAAAATTTCCTAAAACATGATTTTGTACAAAACGGTCTTACGGTGTGCACCTTAAAGCTTGGCTTGGGAAGTTAAAGGTCGTATTTTATATGGATTTTCTAATTATTGGCGACCATGTACCGGTAATTGGAAAGAGTCAAAAGTGGCCACCTGAGATTAATCTAGCTCTTCGTAACTGAAAAAAACCTGAAAACTTCTAGGAATTTCCTATTAAAGTGGGGTTTTCCTCACTTAAAGCAGCGGATTTTCGCCTTGGAGTTATATTATTGGCCGGATTGAGGGATTTTTGGTTTCAGCTTTTGAAAAATCGGTGGCGTCCAACAACCAACCGCTCTGCTTTAGTATCCGGAAGAACCCTGGAAACTCTCAGAAATTTCTTATTAAAGTGCGTTTTTTCGAATTTGAAGCAGCGCATTTTCTCTTTCGAGTCATATTATGAACCGAATTGTGGGATTTTTTGTTTTTCTATTGCTGCAAGTGAGCTGCAGAAGATTTTTTAAATTTTTGGAAAACTTTTTGCAGCTTTTAATTATGGACAAAACCCTAATAATTATTTCTGGGGCTTTTTCCAAAAATATTTCCCCGAACAAAGCGAAAGTTTATAATCATTTATTTGGAAAACTCTTGGAAACTGGGGTTTCTTCACTTTTAGGTCAATATTTCTGAACACTCTCTCTAAACAGAAAAACCGCGTTTTTCCTAATGTTTTACTATAAAATACTAGCAAACTGAGAGTCTTTTATGCAAAAAAAAACTAAGAGATCGATTTTACAAGAAAACTCGTCTACTTTAGACTTTTTTAGAATGAGTTCTATTGCTGGGAAAATCTAGATAACTTTTTTTAAGTTGTTTGAACAAAGTAGTAAAAATCGTTACTCAGAAAAAATTTCAATGACTTTTTTTAGATGTCAAAATTCATAGTTAGTAAAGTCAGTCAGTAAATAAGTAAAATAAAGCAACAACTCAATAGCGCAACTCACTCAACACAGTGTTACCCAGGCTTGAAAGTGAGGCTCATTTAAAGCCGCAGATTTTCTTTTTCGAGTGATATTCTGAGAAGGCTTGAGAAATTTTTGGTTTTTTCTTCTCAGCTTTTTTCTAAATCCGGCTATCTATACCAACGGCCATTCGCTTCCCCTTAGTAACTGAAAAAGTCCTGGAAACTCCCAGAAATTCCCCATTAAAGTGAGCTTTTCCTCACTCAAAGAGCGGATTTTCTCTTTCTAGTGATGTTATGGCTTGCATTCAGGAGTTTTAGGTTTTTCCTTGGCGAATTTTTTAAAAATCCGTGTTGTTCAACGACCAATCGCTTGGACTTAGTGCCTGAAAAAATCGTAAAACTCCCCAGAAATTTGCTATAAAAGTGAGTTTTTCAAAAAAAGTCAGCCAGGATCAGTAACAGTGGCATAAGGTCATTAGGCCGTAGAGCTTTCAGCATAAATTTCCAGACATGCATTCTTCTGCTCAAATATCCTCTATTAATACCTTGAACACTCTGGATAACATCCTGTAAAATATCCGAATTGTCTACAATTAAATCAAGTCGAAGTTGTAGTTGTTTCGAAGCGAACCTGATTCCACTCGCTTTGGGAATTTGATGCACTTCCATGTTACTATCGGAACAAAGTTAGATCAGACACAAAATTGGTGCAAAGTGAAGTTTCTGACTGAAACTGGCAACTAATACTCGCGTCTAGTGCCTCAGCTGATTAAATTATTGTACTGAATCGAATGGAAACTACAATTCAGGTATGTCCGAATCGATAACCCGGGCATCAAAAAGGCCCCGCTTTATCCTGTTTTTCGCTCTTCTCCCTTCAACTGCCACCCCCTGCGTAAGAATCCTGGCATTTATTTAACGAAGCATTTTCTCTGGGACTGAAAAGAGTTCCGTTTTGCCGTTTCCGATGCTGCAAACGACCGATTTCCCATTCAAGAGGAACGCGAATTCAATTATACCACTTGGACTGGTTTCGTCATCACCATTTTTATGTTTATCACAATCTTTTCTGCGAGCATTTTTTAAAAATAATTAGAGCCCAAAGCACACAACACTAACCCCATTATCCAAAGGCAATGTGCTTTTTTCCATTGCGCCACTCTTTCTTTGGAGGGCTTTCGGTGGCTTGCCAACAACAGCTGCACTGGAACAACCAAAATCTGCATGTTGGGCACCAAAAGAAGCTAATCCGGTGGCAGAAATCGGCCTGGAAATGCTGCACGTGGATTGATATTGAGCTCGAGGGCTAAGAAGTGCTAAAAAAGACGTTGCTAGTAAAACGCAAGCAACCCTAAATCATTCGGGGGGTTACAATGTTCAATTGGAAATTTACTGGCAATTTGAAGCCGAAAGGATCACGTATTGATTGGAAATTAAATATAGTGCCCAAAGAGGCTTATGTGCTTGGAATATCAAATCAATATAATTCCTTTTGAAGAAGCGGGAATATTGTCCTGGACTTGTCTGGGGCATGTTAGACTAATGCTGGTGAATGTCCTGCAGTTAAACTAGATAAATAACATCCAGAGGAATCAGGGGTTTTTATATTGATTTACTTACAGAAAGTGACAAACTTCTGGAATCGTTCTAATACTGGCAAAAGTACGTAGAATAGAATTGATTGTTGATAAAATAGGTACCAATTATGTATTGAAAATGAATTCCTTAATTTGTTTAGGGATTGTTCAAAATGTGTGTTGATGGAAAATTATAAGAAATCATAAAACTTCTTAGATTGTTGGCCACGAGACCAAAACAGTTCAGACCAATGCGCTTGTAAGGAAAAAACGGGAAATTACGCAAAGAAACCACTCGCCCGAGGTTTTTCGCATGGATTCAGTTTCAATCCAACCGACTTAATAACCCTTTGTAGGGCATAGGCCTAGGTTATAGGGAACGGCGTTATCCAGACCACCAAGTATCGATTTCCGACTTTGCAGTCAGCCTCGTTAGACGACAAGTAGCGTCAGGCCGGAGTTGTCGGCTTCGGGAAATTGTTTCGAAATTTTCAGTGAATTTCACGAAATGTTTTAATTAATATGCGGCCTCTGTTACATGGAAATTGGGCTTGAAAGGGGTCGGATTTGCAAGTTCAATATGTGTTAGCGTGGTAAAAATCGGCAAACTCTCTCACCAGGGTATCCAGGTTGTAAACTGGCTGCATTGTAGTAGGAGGCAAATCTGGAAGTGAACTGACTTTGAGAAATCGGCACCGATTTTCGCTTAGATATTACCCTAGAGCGGTAGGGCTCCACCAGAAAGGGTCCCAAGGCTCGTGAGGAGGAGCTGAAGGCTTAATTGCTGTTGCTTGAAAATTATTTGTCTGATTCCACCCTCTTCCATCCTGAGCATCCAGACTGAACCTGCTCTCCTTCATAGAGCTGCAAGGAGGCCTTTCAATCACCACGTCCCAGCCTTTAGGGGTTGTCGTCTGGCAGATTGGGGGTTTCCTTCGCCTTGTCGGTGGCGTGGGAGCAGGCTTCAAGCGCAACAAAAAGGTAACCTCCTCCTCTTCTCCTTCATCTTCATTGAAGTCGCATTGCTTCGAATCTCCATGGTTGTGCATTTTCCGTAATTCGTATCAAAATCAACACATACGACGGTACAAATCAGATGCACGACACACTAAACACATCGCCGAGTATCAGTAGTGCGATAAAACCAAACCGCCTGCCGCCGGTGTTTTATTCGAAAATCCCAAATAAAATTTCTGTCGCCGACAACATACCGACGACTGGAAAATGGTATTTTGTGCGACTATTTTCAGAAAAGCTTTCGGTTTCTATTAGATTAAGAACGCAGAGATCGTACAGTTGGAGACCAGCGCGACAGAATTGATTTCCTGGTTTATCAAAAGCATGCAATTTATGCCTGGATTCATTGTTAGCGCTGTGCTTTTTCATATAAAGTTTTTCGAAAAGTAATTTTTACGAATACACGATGGGCTTTAGTCGATTGGCAATGTTTAGCTCGACCATACGATTGAACTACTTCCACCCACCCATTTCTTAATAGAATCGGAAAGAGACAAGGAATGCAACGAGCTAATTAAAAGACAGCGCGGCTTTTCCAGTTCCCAAATAATCAATATTTTTTGCCTATTTTGAACGGTTTTTGAGCGCAATCTTCAACRAACGATATCTTTCTTATTATGGACCCACAAACTTCATATTCGTTATTGGGTAGCTTTTTAGGTCGGAAACAATCCAATGAGGGCAAAAAACACTGACGTGAAATTTTGATTTTTGATCGAAAATTTCATAAGAGGGAACCAACAGATCGATTTTTTTTAAATCAAGTTTCTCAAAATACCTCAAATTCCACACCATTTTCAACGGAAAGGAACAAGGAATGCAACGAGAGAAGTAAAAAACACCGGGGCCCTTCCAGTTCTCGAGTAATCAACATTGTTTGTCTTATTTGAACGGTTTTTGAGCGGTCGCAATCTTCAACGAACGATATCTTCCTTATTATCGACCCACAACCTTCATATTTGATATTGGGCAGCTTCTTAGGTCGGAAACAATCCAATAAGGGCAAAACACAGGATTGTGAAATTTYGATTTWTGGTCGAAAATTTCATAATAGGGGAGCARRAGATCGATTTTTGAAAAAAATTCAAGTTTATCAAAATACCTCGAATTCAACATCATTTTTATCGGAAAGAGACAARRAATGCAACGAGCTGATTAAAAGCCACCGCGGCTTTTCCAGTTCCCAAATAATCAACATTTTTTGTCTATTTTGACGGACTATCTTCAACGGACGATCTTTTCCTTATTATGAACCAACAAACTTCATATTCGTTATTGGGCGGCTTCTTAGGTCGGACACAATCCAATAAGGGCATAAAACACAACATTTTTATTTTTTAGGAAAATTTCCACCCAGAGATCGATTTTTGGAAAAAATTCAAGTAAAATTGCATCTGAACTCACAAGAGTGCAACTTTTGTCGATTCCAATGAACAAAACATCAACTGGAATAAAACAGTTTTTCAATAGCTTTTAGCAAGTTCCTCGTTATTATTCTTTACTCTCGGCTCTGGATTATTCTCGACTGTTTTCAGCACCGCATTCACCATGACTGATGATAAAAATCATAACAAAACTGAACTAATTTGTTTCAACTGGCGTCAATCGTCCAACATACCGAGATCCCCAAAAAGTCGGAAAATACCCCTTGTGAACGAAATGCGCCAATGAACAGGGACCAAGAAATCGTCGGTGTGCATAAATTAGTTCCGCTCTCTTTGTATCTATTTGGAATAATTCGCTTTCCCTAATAGGCTTATCCAAAGAGTGTGCAACGCAGATAACCCGTTTATGCACATACGCAGTGAATTTGGGATTTGTTTAACTACTAATTTTCATTACCTGCACACTTATTTTGGTGTTTTTACGCCAAAACCTGACAACGAACAGGGGCGAAATGTGTGCACAATATATATTGTAAAATTATGGCATTATTAAAACTACAAATGGTTCAAATTTGAAATAAGGAGAAGCGATCTCATTAAAACAATTCTACATAATCAACAAGTATAAAAGAAAACTTTCCACATATCAGACTAGTTGTGTAGAAGGATTCACAATTGGCGCATTCCTCTAGAAAAGTTACTGGGGCTTAGTCGGGGTACGAAAAAATAACGCTCTTGCTGGAAGATAAATTTGCAATTTCACCTTTGCTATTAAGCACATTTTCACTCTGTTATATCCAAATCGTTTTATGTTAGAAGCCTTAGATCTTCCAAAGGTTTTGCCAACATTTTAGAAAATTATCCACATTCAAAATGGAAAGCTTACAATCTTACAGCCCCAACCATTAACTTCATTTGTTCGAATAAAAACGCCCATTCTATTTTAAATTTCAAGTATTTTTTCAAATTTTCAATTCCAACCGAATTGTTGAAAAGTTGCATTTGACTTGAATCTCCGGGTAAGTTATTGCACAACTCGTAAAATATTTTATCGGCAAAGTGTCGACATTAAGTATTATCTTAAAACTGCTGGTTCATCCAATTTGAACGACAACTTCGAATCGTTCGACCATAAACACCACCTCCGTGTTTCCACGTGATTTCCAGAATAAATTCGAGAGACTAGCAAAAAACGTAGCGTTTTGTGTTGAAATGCTTTGGGCGGAATAAGACACATCGCCTACATACGCGACATTTCCGTTACTCGGACCTTTTTCTTAGTTTCCAGGTCGATTAAGAACAAGCAAGATTAATTATAATCCAGAGGATAATAGCGCCGTGATTATGGCTCTGTCGCTCCCGTTCTCGGATCTAATTAATTAATACTAGCAGATGTAACGCTAAGAGCTGGTCATTTGCTAATTAACTCCGCAAAGAAAAGTGGGCAAAAACCAATCAATACACTTGTGCGTCATTTCGCTGAGAAACTTGCAAGTTTCTAATGCTTCTCCTTGCCAGTTTTGAATCCGTTTAAGTCCATTTGCAGACTTTCATTGTTTTTCGTATGCAAATTACGATGTTGGGGGCATTTGAAAACGTTTCCGCGTTTGTTTTTCGCGTTATCAGCTTTCCTAGTCTCGGCTCATCCAATAACCGTTTTTTTATTCAAATTATATTTCCAAATGCGCATTTTTACCCGCTTATAACCTTCAGTTAAACAACGGGCTCCCTTTTGTCGATCAATCGCCTGAAAACTTTTCCTCTAAAAAAGTTTGTCAGTGGGGGTTTGTGGCATTAAACATGTATAAGGGAAAGGCGACGAGAGCAAATCCAGGAAGGAATTTTCAAAATGGGAAAAAAGCTGATTCCATTAATCACATCTGTTGCAAGCCAATGGGGCAAAATGCCTAAACTAACCGCCTTCTATTTGCAATAGAATGCAATACCTGCACGCATTCTGATATCTCGTGCCGGGATCATAGAAAGCCACTTTAAATTGCGAATCGATAAATCGACGTTCGCCACACAACAGACTTATACAGAGATCTGAGAGCATGGAAATAGAGGGAAATTGATAATATAAAAGAGTACAAGTTTCCAACATGCAGCACTTTCCTTTGCCTGTCTATCTCGATCTGAAATGGCCACTTTAAACCAAACTAGTGTGCAGACCAGCACAATTAACTACCTCCCATTCGGTTCACACAAAATTAAAACCATTTGTGTACGACCGCGGGCTCGTTTATTGCACCCCATTTGTCCTGGACGTTTATTTTGAAATGTTGAATACAATATGTAGCGTTAATTAGCTTTTTTCTTCGGGGCTAGTTAGACTAAAAACTAAGACACAATGGGTCCAGATACTCGCCAATAGGACAAATATCAGGTTGTTCGGTTTTGTCAATCAAAATATCTTAAAAACTTGAATTTTTTGAGTAATTTGAAAGTCACTCAAAGATACGGTGCTGTTGGGATACTTTCAACTCGACTGTCGAATCCGTATTGAAGATCCGATTATTTTTAATGCTCGCGAATATCGCAACATATTTTAGTCAATTTATAAATCGAGTATTACCTGATTAATCCATTGTAGCAATACTTTGGCAACTTGTGGATCGGGAGGAGTCGGAGAAGTGGCGTTCTGAAGAGCGGCTGCTAGTTGGGTGGCCGCTTCCCTTACGTTGGGAGGACACGACCCAAATCCATAGTCTGGAGAATGGGGCGTCAATGATCCAGACCCTGAAATGCAAGACAATCTTGTGTAATAACGAGTAACACTGTGTTGAGTTGCCCTTTCGAGTTGTTGCCACCCTTGAGTTAATGAGTTTTAACTCATTGATTAATGAGTTATAACTCATGGCCGGTGGAGAAATTTTAGCAACTAACAAAAGAAAGCCATCAAGATATTGCTTTTGCGCATACGATTGCTTGAAACTTGGTCCAAAACGGGAAAATTCGGAGTTGAAGAAACTTTAAAAAATTTCAGGGCGATGAGGATGATGCGTTTTCCAAATATTACATGCTTCTGCTTTCTCTGGTCATTTTTTAAGAAAACCCAATTGTTGTCGAAAAAACAAGATAACTTTGTTTCGATTTTGTCCCAAATTCAAGGGTAAAACGGGTATTCGAAAAAAAATCAAGATCAAGAAGATCAAACTGTAAAGACGACGAGTTTTCTTGTAAAATCCATCTTTTGACTTTTTTGCATAAAAGACTCTCAGCTTGCCAGTATTTTACAGTAAAACGTTAGGAAAAAACGCGTTGTTCTATTTAGAGAGACTTTTGTTTACAAATATCGACCTAAAAGTGAAGAAACCGGAATTTAAATAAAGCAAATTATTCACAGCGAAAAAAGTGACGAGTTTTCCGAATAATTGATTATAAACGTTCACTTGTTCTGTTCGGGGAAATATTTTTGGGAAAAATTCCAGGAAAAATTATTAGGGTTTTGTCCAAAATTAGAAGCTGCAAAAGGTTCCAAAAAAACTTTACAAAGCCGTTCAGGAGCCGCGTTCCAATAAAATTTATTTTATAATTTTCACAGAAAATACCTGAAGATTGTCAGTATTTTAAGTAAAACTAAAAAGAATACGAGTTTTTGCGTAGAAAGAATTGCTTAATAGAAACTTTGCTTAAACTAGGATGACCTGAAATTTTAAAGAATCTTGAAAAATCTTCAGAGCGATGAGGGTGGCGAATTTTACAAGTAATTTTTTTTTCAAGATAATCTTAATTACTTTCGATAAAAACTGGATAAAATTATTTAGTTTTTGTGCCAAATTCCAAGCTGAAAAGGGTTTTTTAATGTTCCCTACACACCGATGAATGAGGCGAATTTTCTAGCAAAATGAATTTTGTCTGTTTTGGCTGCAAAGACCCATTATTGCCAGAAAAGAAGAAAATAATCAGAAAATTATATTTTTTTGCTTTTTGATTTAAAACTTTTAGTTTCCTGATCGGTTTTTGCGAAAACCTTAATAGTTTTCGGGGAAAAACGGGATAAATTTATTTCCGTTTTTGCCCCTAATTCGACTCCGAAAAAAGTTTTGTAAAATTCCGAACAAAGCTATAAATATATATTATAATTTTCCGCGTAAAATACATCCAGATCGTCAGTATTTTCAAGTAAAACTCTACAAAATAAAGCGTTTTTGAGTAGAAAGCAAAGCAAAAAACATTCAGTCAAAACTAAAAAAAACATTTTTTTTAACAAACTACAGTTTTCAGAGGAAGTGACAAGTTTTCCCAATAATTTATTATAAACTTTCGCTTATTCAGTTCGTTTTTTGATTTCCCAAATTCGAAGCTGGAAAGGGATGTCAAAACTTTTTACAAAGCGACGAAGGGGGCGAGTTTTTTAATAAAATGTATTTCATAATTTTTCGCGAAAAATACCTTAAGATTCATAAAGATTCTAAAGATTCACTGCAAAATTGCCAGTATTTTGCAGTGAATCTTTAGAAAATTGGGCAATTAGAAAAACAAGTAACTTTGCTAAAACTGGAAAATTCTGAAATTTTTTAAAAATTTTGAAAATATTATTAATAAATGACCCTTAAAATAAATCTAAAAACTGATCAAAAAAAAGTCATCAACATTTTCCCAGCATCGGAACTGAGTTACTGCGCCGGTGCGTTGGGTTGGCCACCAAGCCATTTGCGTAGCACTGCGCCAACTCCTAAAAATTCACTGGGTTACCCAGGCCTACTCACTTTAATGGGAAATTTCTGGGAGTTTTCAGGATTTTTTCAGATACTAAATCGACGCCATTTGTCGTTGAACAACATTGATTTTTTTTAAATTCTCCGAGGAAAAACCAAAAATTCCTGAATGCGACCATAATATCTCTCAAAAGAGAAAGTCCGCAGCTTTAAGTGAGGAAAAACTCCCAACCAACCCTAACTCCTAAAAATTCATTGAGTTACCCAGGCCTATTGTGCAATGCATATGGAAGCGTGCGAATAAAGTAAACCTGAATACTTCAGGCGCAAAAAACTGGTTCACTGCGAATTTATTGCTAAATGAATATTTACAATTCTTAGGCTTTACTAGAAATTTGTCGCTGATTCAAAGTTAGTTTAAGGGTTGCTTCTTGGACGCGGTTTCAAATATCTGATTAGCTAATGATCGTTTGCATAGAGCGTTTCGAACACTCTTTGCCGCAATAGGCTTCCTCACCACAGGAGGGAATTTCTCCACATTATTGTGGCAATCGGCCTTCATGCTGCGTCAAATTCCGTTGATCTATGACCCTTTTACGGGCATTCGAGGATTAATTCCTATCAAAGTTCACGTTTCGGGTGCTATTAGCTCTGCAGAACAATATCGATATTTTCCGTACTCTGCCTAGTTGTTGCAAGCGAAATGAATTCGATCTTGGCATAGCGAGCAAAAGGGATTTATTGCTGAGTTAAAGTTTCACACGTTCCTGGATGAGATTTTTAATTAAATTTTTTTCAGGAATTTAAATTCAGCTAATAGAACCACTTACCTCGTTGAGGCGCCCCGCCCGAATGGCACATGTTGAGCCACCACCAACGCGTCATGTAGACCGGTTAAGCATCCCCCGAGGGCCCCACAAAACTAGGGTCACTACAAGGGGCTCAATTCACGCACTGCGCCCCTCATGGTTTGTGCTTCTGATGGTTTTGCCGGTGCAATAATTGGAAAATCCATTTACTTAGTCACGACTGCAACTCGGTCACCGTGGAATGTAATTTAACGTTAAGCAGCAGCAAATAATACAATTATTGATAAAAGAAAGTGACCGGATCAGATTACGACTAACATTTCTTTAATTATGATGAGGCAATGCGTGACATAATAGTGAATGCTGATGGCAAAAAAATGGCTTACTCATTACGAACTCAATTACTAAGAGGGCAAAGCTGCAAAATTGCAAACCTTTTGGGAGTGATTTGATTAACAAAACAACTCTCTAAATGAAGGGCACCATAAATAATGCAACAAGGGCGCACTGAACTTGTTGAAAATAGGTACAATACGCGACAGGTTTTCAATTTCAGAAAACTGGAAAAGGGAAAAACTCTCGCTGAGATCGTGGTAAAATCGCAACTGGCGAGCCAGTTGGGAAGCGCCAACTTGTTGCGGGGCATGAGAAGTTTGCCGTTAAAACACAGTGCGCGCAACGGCTGTTTAGGGAGCTCTTTAAAAAATCAGCTCAAAATTGAGCCAAACTAGTGGAAAACTGCATGCAATTTCCAAATCTTTTAAGGAGTCTGAAACTGGGTTACTTTACTGCTTCCATTTGGGCAACACTCAATGTAGCTGATGTGATGTTTGCACTTGATGCTCTGGATACAGGCAAAATTTGCCAAATAAAATAGAAGAAATATTCCACACAGTAAATCCTACCTGATATGATTCCATCCATTTGCATGAGGGCCTGTTCCAACAGCTTGCTGGCCTCTGTTTGGGGGGACAGGCCTGGCATGTTGTCGCTAATTTTATCGGCTTTGCCCATTCTATGTTTGGAGCTAATCATTTACACCACCATTGAGGTTAATTGAAGATGTCCAGCAGAGCAGATACACCCCTCTCACTGATAAAACGCGTCACGAATTCACTACCGGTTGTGGATTTACTCGGTTTTAACGGCTGTTGGCGACAGATAGAACTAACGAAAAAAAATTAAATATAAAGGTTTAATTGTTAAAGTGCTTGCAACTAACTTTTATTATTTTTATCCCTTAGAATGGGCCTTGCTATTATTTTTGTTTACTTGTTTGACTTGTTGAGGACCAGTTGTCAATGCATCTGATATGTCTGGTGTGCTGGCCTCTATGGGCAAATTCACTAAATAACAGAGCAGAAGAACATTTTTAATCGAACTTTATTTATATCTATGTGCTTTGTGAATACGGAGATTAGTTAGGAATTTGTTATAATAATTATAGCAGGTTTTGGAAGACATTAGCTCTTACGAATGAATTTTACTTTAAAAAATTGGAATTTCCAGAATGTGTATAAAAAACTACAGCGGCAACCACACATTCAGCTAGATATATATTGACAAAACACGTCAATTATCTCTGACGTTGATGTCATTAGTTTTGTGCGTTATTCAAGTATTAAAATGTAGTAGAATGCGGATTGTGGAGGTTTCTTGTATTGAGAGTAGGTAAGACATGTACATCCTCTTTCGGACCATAAAACGCATCTTTTTACGTAGAAAAATGCACCCCAACTTGCGTGCGTTTTATGGCTTAAGTACAACTTTCAAAATTTCTTCTTTTGAAAGATTCCGAGCCTATCAGATCCATTTGCTAAATACATTCACCGTATAGATTATCCCTGTGCTAATTTATTAGTGGTATTTCTTGTAGAAATGCGGATTTCAACCACTTTTTACTCACTAAGATTCACTTGTTAATTTCGAAACCGTGGGCTCGATAAAAGACCAATTTATTAGTTTGGTGTTGGTGCSCTCTTTAAGAACCCAAAGTTGTAGTCAATAATGCCTTTACGAGACAACCTGTACATATGCAGATTGCCAAATTAAGAAAACACTATATTTTRTTTCCAGCCTRTTTCTAACCRTTTAGACGCAATCGAGCATTCATTTTTAAATGTCCGTTTTTCTCATACATTTTGGGGATTWTGGGTATCTTTYGTGATTAGGCCTGGGTAACTCASTGAATTTTTAGAAGTTGGCGCAGTGCCACACCATAGAGAAAGTAAAATAATTATTATTTTACTTACTCTATGTGCCACACGTAAATTGCTTAGTGCGCCAACCCACGCACCGGCGCAGTAACTCGGTTCCGTTGCTTTTAGATTTATTTTAAGTTATTTATTAATAATATAGTTTTTTTTCTTCAAATTTTCAGAATTTCTCAGTTTTAGCCAAGTTACTCTTTTTTCTAAATGCTTAATTTTCTAAAGATTCACTTCAAAATACTGACAATCTTAAGGTATTTTTCGCGAAAAATTATGAAATACATTTTCAGAACACAGAACACTCGCCTCCTTCGTCGCTTTGTAAAAAGTTTAGAAATCCCTTTCCAGCTTCGAATTTGGGACAAAAATTAAATAATTTTCTATCAAAAAACGAACAGAATAAGCGAAAGTTTATAATAATTTTTTTGGAAAACTCGTCACTTCCATTCCTCTGAAAATTGTAGAGATTATTAAAAAAAGATGTGTTTTTTAATTTTGACTGATTTTTTCCTTTACTTTCTACTCAAAAATGCTCTATTTTGTAGAGTTTCGCTTAAAAATACTACCGATCTGGAGGACTTTTACGCGAATAATTACAAGATAAATTTATAGTTTTGTAAAAATTTTACAAAAACTTTTTTTAGCGTCGAATTCGGGACAAAAACGAAAATAAATTCCTCCCGTGTTTCCCGAAAACCATTAAGGCTTTCTCCAAAACCGAAAACAACCAGAGCAAAAGTTTAAAAAAATTAGTTGGAAGATTCGCCGCCCATCGCTCTGAAGTTTTTAAAGTTCCTTTAAATTTTCAAGTTATTCCGGTATTAACAAAGTTTCTATTTAAGCAATTCTTTCTACGCAAAAATCGAATTATTTTTTTGTTTTACTTAAAATACTGACAATCTTCAGGTATTTTCTGTGAAAAATTATAAAATATATTTTATATTGCACTCGCCTCCTTAACCGCTTTGCAAAAATGTTTGGAATACTTTTTGCAGCTTCGCATTATGGACAAAACCCTAATATTTATTTCTGGGGCTTTTTCCAAAAATATTTCCCTGAACTGAAAAAGCGAAAGTTTATAATCATTTATTTGGGAAACTCTTCGAAACTGGGGTTTCTTCACTTTTAGGTCAATATTTTTGAACAACACTGTCTAAACAGAAAAACCGCGTTTTTCCTAACGTTTTACCGTTAAATTCCTGGCAAACTGAATCTTTTATGCAAAAAATTGAGAGATCGATTTTACAAGAAACCTCGTTGACTTCTTTAGAATCAGTTTCGTTTCTGGGAAAATCTAGATTACTTTTTTTTAGTTGCTTCAACAAAGTAGTAAAGCGTTACTCAGAAAAAATGTTAATTAATTTTTTTTAGATGTGAAAATTCCAGTCTCGGGTCATCATAACTCATTATCCGTTAACTCAGAAAGTGGCAACAACTCAATAGCGCAACTCAACACAGTGTTACCCAGGCCTATTTGTGATATATTGTGAGCTGCATTTGCCCACATCACACTCTATAAGGGTAGATAGAAATCCGAATAAATTTTGTATAGGTTTAATCTTATGTATACATAAATTAATATACCTACGATGCGCTTAGTTAATAAACTAATTTCCACTTGGAAACGAAAAGGGCATTTTCTGATCCAGCAATGTTGAAACAGTCGATTAATTCCCAACTATTCGGTTTCAAACACTGTTGTTGAGCCAACGACATCGCCACTAATATATAAATATAAATCTTATCACAAAGAAATCGTCCTAACTTATTAATTTATTTATAGTACAATAAACGGAAACATTATAATAATTTATATAAAATTGCACAGATTAGCTTCGTTATGTGGTTCAGTACCGAATCCTGTAGAGCTGCTAACTTTTTCCTGCTGATTTATCCTTTATCAGGGTTGGCCTGAAAAAAGCAACACCAATTAAAAAGAGTGATTGAAATCTCAACAATAAGAAATGAAATGGATGTATCTGAATATGCACAAGGGCAACAAGAATATAATATACAAGGTGTCATGGCTTTGATTGTACATTAACGAGACATTGGATTATTATGAAAGTTTCCTTGATTCTATAATCGCTCGTCTTCTAATAATTTAAAGTGTTTCTTCTGTGCTTATTCTAAAAAATATAACATCACGTTTGAGATGCAAAATAAGTCACCAAAGCTGTGAAAGCCTCTTATGATTCGCACTTACTTTCCGCATGATTTCATGAAAACTTCGATTTCGATTATTTGGTTACTAAATGCTGAAATATTTCTCTGTTTTTTGATACGAAACTTTTGGCTTTTTGATGGTCGAAATCGGTTGAAAAGTCTGGAAGACCCAGAATCAGCCACTTTTGACATCCGAATTTCCGTGATTTTATAATAATCCAATGTCCCGTTTCCGGTATCCTCAAGATACCATCAACCGTGAAGAACGCTGAATGCAGACTTGTTAAAATGTCGATTAGTAGAAGAAAATTAAGTTTAAAATACAAGAGAATGTCAGGTAAATACAAGCTTTTATGAAATGATGTCTACGTGTAAGTCGCATGCTTCGGGGAGAAAACGAAGATCTACAGTCGGTAATTTTGTTAGTTTTTTAGGTTCAAGTAGCCAAATAGTCTCAATCCTTGGTTGTTTTTGCTTACATCTCTCCAAAAGTAATACTTTTCTGAGGGGTCACTATTTTGTGACCGGATGATAACGCGCAATCGGGATTTCCGTTTTTCAAAATTCCGTTCGGAGTTTCGTTAGGTTTCATGAGATGGACGTTTATCGTCACCCTATTTCTGAGGGGCAGCGTGTCATAGTGATCGTCAAAGTCTTCTGTCAGATCGCTAGTCGACTTTGCAAAGGCTTTCGATAGGTTATTAAGCGAAATTCGAACGGCTCCGTTTTTCTGCGTTTTAATTTGACTCGGTTTATGCGACGAGTTGTCTAACAAGTTTTCCTGAAATAACATTGGATTATTTTTTCTACAGGCACAACCTAAGATACATATAACGCATTACGACCGCTCTTACCATCGATTCGGTTCGCAGCTTCAAATTCGATCGCTTCAACGTTTGAGCCAGTTCGGAGGATAAGCGGTTCCCCAGACTTTCGTCGTTTCCCCCAACATCAACCGTGTCTTGGCTGGCTTGAAGAAAGTCCAACTTCCCTGGCTGCCTTCTCATAGACGGATACTCCCCAATGGTTATACTAACGGGTCTATTCCTTCTAATTGTGCTCACTGAACTACTCGACTGATTCGAGAGCGTATTGGACAAGATTCGTTTGTGGAAATATGTACTAGGCGGCCTGGGCTTTACATTGGCGGGATTGTTGATGCGAAATGACTCCAAAGACTCCATTTCGGCCGATTCCTTGTCACCAGTAGAAGCTTTCCGGGTCGCTACGCTGCTGGAAGTTGAACTTGCCAAACTCAACGTATCATAATCCGGACTGGGGCACGGTGGCGGCTCATTTCCATTCCCTGGCGAAGAAGCAAAACCATTTGTAGCCTTCTTGAACCCATTTTGCGAAGTGTAGGAAAGCACAGAATACTTCACAGGCACAGGCGGTGCTTTCGGTTTCACTTTGGTGCTTTTCAATGTATTTGAGCGGGTTGAGGGCGCAGAAGATGAAGGTGTTGAAGACACACTACTGGTAACACTGCTGCATTGCGGCGGCTGAAACAACGGATTCTATAAACAGCCAACGGTTCATGGTTAAAGTGCGATTGATGCCATCACACCAATTGCTTAAATAAGATTAAGCTTATCTTAAGTCGGTGTAGGTATATGTATTCCTGGAATTTCTATTTTTAAGTATCTATGTGTTTCAGTTGTAATAAGTACTAGTAGCAACTAAAGAACTTTATTGAACGTTTTATTCCCAACTTACTATCGATTTTAATTAATATCTAGTAGTTACAACAAATTGCTGTGAATTAAAAAAAATAATTTGCATTTGTCCAAATCGCGCTGTGATAAATGCAGAAGAACGTGGTTTAATGACGCTTATTGTCGGCAAATGATTTTTAAACAGTTATTTGGTTTAACTAGTGGCAGGATATTTTTTGTAGGAATATTTACTCATCCACTTTAAATACTTAAATTACTTACGGGGGGTGGAGGTGGCGGAGCGGACACCGCTGAATTTGCTTTGCTTATGGTCAGTCTTTTCGTTTCTTCTGTGACGCTGTTCTGCAGCTCAGCTAACCGCTCTGTTAGCTCTTTAGTTTTCGCATTATTGTTGAGTCGATCCTAAAACAGAACGATTTGGTTTAACTTTTATATTGCGTGCAACCACTCTTTTCAATGGCCCACGATTTCTCTTCGTCATCTGATTATTAATCTATTAAATAACAGCAAGCATTAATTTGATGTTTCATTGAAACAATTATTATTTTTTCTTGTAATTCGTTAAAGCTGTTAATTGTTAGATTTCTGATGCACCGTGAACAAGACCCAATTTCGAGTGGGAAAAGTACAAATTGAATGTAAATTGCCTCGTACTGCTACCATTACGTAATCAAGACTACTGTTTTTGGTTTTTTTGGTTACGATTGCTAGACAATAAGAATCTTGAATAGACGCGCTAATACCATTAAATTTGTGGCATTTTAACTTTTAGAACCGACTGAATTACGTCAATCGTTGTTTGTTATTCGGATTTGATCATATTCTTGCTAAATGAACCCGATTTTGTGGTAAAAAGTGACTCAGGTTTCAGTGCAAATTTACAAATCGCATTTTTACCATAAGTTATATCTAAGCAAAACGTCGCTCTGGGTTGGTATCAACCACTCTTAAAGGTCGGTTGAAAACGTCTTGACTTTTATATAGGGTGGTACAAATGCTTGTTTTTGACCGATAGGGATGGGAAGAATCAATATATTTTGCGCTTCTTCTTGTAGAGATACAGCCCCTTTTCACTTTTAAAACATTTGGCATATTTTTTAAATAACTTTCAGCAGGTAGCGGTGGGCTTGCAAAAGATCGCTCGTTGAAAGAGTTTTGCCTTGTTTGCTTTGGCAATTGGTCACTTTTTTACAGCCGGTGTTCTAGAGGCACAAAGACATTTTTAGCATCAGCATCTACGAAATGAACAGTTTTTTTGGTTCTACGCTTCTCTTGAGCTGTCCCTTTTTCCAGTTTTGATTTTGGGAAAACCCGCAAAAAAACCCTCAACTAATAACAGGCATTTCTTAGCCCCACGAACATATGGGCGCTCCTCAGGGCTTGAGCATTAAATGTTCTGAAAAATTATGCCATTATTTCCAAAAAACGATATCAAAGAACCAAAGCCGTAGGCCGTAGAGACAACAGTTTAAAGAGCGTGTCATGCTATAGTTTTGGGTTCTATGCGAATCTGGTATCCACCCTGTACAACTCGAGATAAGCATTACTGCGAAAAAAGTACGTGCACACTTCTCAGTCATGCATGACATCGTATACCCAATTGCAGGTTTCTAGTCGATGGTTCAAATTTCAATATTTTCACTCTCTTTTTCCTAAAGGAAAACAGCCAGCTTAGCGCAACATGATCGCCGTTCGGCAATGACTCGAAAAATTGCTTTGCACCGTTTCCCGTTGGAAAAATCTACAAAAGTAGATTTTATTGCGTTTGTTACAGTTAGACCTCGAGAATGGTTAGAAATCATACTTTCTTTAGTTCAAAGTAAGTTCATCATTGATGAATTTTGAACAGAAACCAAACTATAGTACTGCAATAAAACTCAAAAACTGCAGTATATCTTTATCTGGGTCTTGTTATTGACAAAAGCGAAACCACCAAACTTGTGCAAACGAAGCGAACAGTCCACCTTTGCAACATAAAACATTTTCCATGGAATCGACTCCACGGTATAATTAAAGAAAAAACTCACTTCGTATGTTTGCAAAATAAAGGCAGGCCCGCTTCCTTGCGCTTTCATCACGGATTTCACGTGAAAATGACGTGTTGCCGTCGTTCCAAACCGTCGCGACGAACTTCGGATGCGAACTGAACAATGTCGGATATCGAATAACAACAAACAGGTAAAAAGTATAAACAATTAATTTCGATGGGAATTGCGTGGTATTGTACTGTTCCAGTACAATACAGCTAAACGGTTTATCATTGCAAATCGTCCACCTCCCGTTCGAATACAGGACGATTAGAATGTATTTTTTTATTGCATGTGGCAGCTTGTGAGGTTTTTGGACAGCTTTTTTCTAGTTTATTCGCCCTTTGCTTTTGAGATTAATAATATCTTCACCCTATGCGAGATAATCCCTTGAGCGAGAAAATAACAATTTTTCTTAGTGTCTTTAATTCTAAAGAATCTCTTGATCATTCGATGCAGTTTTTGTTTCGTTGAAGGTTTCAATCTCTGAGTTCTTGAAAAACGGGCTCTGAATATTTTTTGCGTCACATTCTGCAACTGTGCTAACTTCTTCCGAAACGGTTTTGGAAACGTTTGTGCCCGCAGTTTTGCGTAATTGAAATGCCCCAAAGGCGGTAGTTCGGATGATCCTTAGGGCGAAAGCAGTCATTTCAAAAGCATTAAACTCGCATGTGGAATTTAACTTTTTTCTGCCCAAAATCGGTCGATGTTTTCGAAACAAATCAAATTCCTCAAAATGCCCCAACATCGTAAATATCAAATTTCATTAAGTTATTCTTCATCCTTCTAAAGGATTTTGTTAGCAATTGATAACTTTGCGGATCCTAAAACGTTCCTTTTTCTCATTCAACTCATTTGATGAATAAAAATGTCCTTTAAGTTATTGTTGTTGGCGTTCCAGTAAATATTACTCAGGTTTAATTCGTGAAATAAATCAACCCGAACAAGCAATGGCAATTCCTCGCTTTTTCATCAGCTTTATTTACCAAAATCTGGTCAGAATTCATTGGCAAGTCCTTGAAATGATAAGCTCACATTGTCAATCAACAAACAATATATGGCGACAGTGATAAATTACCCAAAGAAATTTTAGAATACACAAACGGGCTTATCGTGTACCATTGTTTTATTACATAATTAGACTAATTAGACAATCGTGTCGATGGTATTTAACGTGCCAATTTCACAAAACGGCTTATCTCTATCGCATATTGATTCAGTGGGTGAGGGCAGAAAACCGACAATAAATAAACGGATTTCCATACCGTCATACCAGCATAAAATAAAACGGAGTTTCCCATAAATAGGCGCAAAAATCTAGAAAAACTTACTTCGCTCAGATCCGTAACACTATTTGATAACTTCTCCACATCCACGGCCTCAGAACTCTTGAACATTTTTTTATGTGCCCTTTTGAACTCGTCCATCAGCTTGCTGTGCTGAAACTGCTTGTCGCTGTCCACCCCTTTGAAGATTTTCTTCTTTTGCAACTGCTCATCTATGGACGGTTTCTCATTGGCAATTTTCTGGAAACGATCAAATAAATTTTGCCCGCAACCCACTCCTACCACAAAGCTCACTTGTTGCCGCCGTTGAATCTCTAAAGTAATCGCCGAAGACAAGCTGCAACTGGTTGCGTTGCTAGCAAAGCTGCTGAAACTGCTGTTGGAGGCACTTTTCATGAGAGGAGGTTTGCTTTTGGGGTCGCTTTGATGCACCTCCACAACCACCCGCTCTTTTTTTGTAGTTGCGTAAATGTTTTCGCCTCCTTTGGCCTGGCCTAAGTCGACAAAGTTATGACCGCTCAGACTGCTGCTGGATGAAGTGTTGAACTCTTCAACAATGGACTCTTCGGCCCCGTTGTTGTGAATCGTGGTGCCGCTTTCCGTTAAATTGATTATGGTGGGTTTGAAAAGGGGCTTGTCTTCGGGCTCATCGTCCCAGGAGTCCCATTTCTTTACGTTGACCACTGAAAACAGAGAATATTTCAAAAAATCCCAACTGATACGTTTTTGCATATCCAGAAAAGATGGAGAGTCAGGTTTTCTCATTAGGAACTCAGAGGGCCATTGCGTGATTTAAATGGTTGAGGAGTTAATACTTACGGTGTTTGAATTTGTCCAAGTTGTTCAGACGTTCGCCCAGGTCCAGATTCTCCTCTTTCACAATAGAGAGCCTCTTCGAGTCCGACCAGGAGGGACTTTGGTCGCCGGTCACGGAACTGGCCGAACTGTTGTACCCGCTGGATTCACCGGGAAACAGTTCGGATCCTGCCGCTTTTCGGATCACTAAATTGAGCTGTCGGGATGACTTCATCAACGCGACTGCCTAAAACAAAAACCAAAATCACAGTTGAGGATTCCAGACCCAAAATTGAGGATGAAGTCGCACCTCGTTGAAAGGGATATCGAAAAAGTCCACATTGTTGCAATATAAAATTTGGTCGCCCGGTCGGAGGCCTGCATCTCTCGCAATGCCACCCTCTTTCGTGAATTGCACGAAAATCCCCGGCTTCCAATCAGGACCTTTGCAGATCCTGCGCCCAAATAGGTATCAGCAACTCTTTATATGCAAGCCTGGAAAACTTACCCGCAGCCCAGTTTACTTTTTGGTGCCACTAGAATATTTACCCTTACGTCGTTCAATTTGTCTCCTAATTGCGGCGACTCCCTGATAGGAGAATCGGCATCCGTGATAATTTGCCAGCTCAAGCCATCCGTTTTTTTGCTAAAAAAGGTGGCAATTAGCTGGTGAAATATTCGCATTGTGCTACTCACTCTTTCACCGGAATCATTCCCACACCTGCAAAAAATAAAACATGTTTAAAACCTGTTGAACTGGTAAACATGAGAGACACACACTCAGCACCATTTGCTATTATGAGCATTTAGGAGTATATTTGCCATTGTTCAAAATATTTGCTTGTTGAAAGGGAGGTGTGAAACCATCTTTTTACCGAATATTTGGATGTGGTTCTAATATCCTTCTTCAGAGTTAATTTCATGAGTTATCGGACTCTTCTTCGTGGCGCTACAAAAGGTTAACTGCATAACTTGAGATATTGCCTTATATTAAAATTTAAATCTTATTTAACTTTTTGGCCCGTGACTTCACAAATTCTTCGTCTAGTTCATGTTTTTCAAAAATTTGTGTTAATTTTTTTAAAGTTTCTATTTGTTTTTTCTCCTTTACTCTAACTACAACTTTTCATGCTACTTTTTCATTTCTGGGCTGTCTTCTAATTGATTAAAACCTCGGCTTTTCATCTTTGGTTTCAAAAGTAGCTTGCTTATTTCCATACCTTCAATGCTTCTAAATTATCCAAGACTTTTCTCAAATGTTTTTATGTTCACTTTCGATCTTTAACTTTCTGGTCTGTGTCTTCACGAATTCTTCTTCTAGCTCATTTATTTTATATATTAAGTTTGCCTTACTTCTTTTGATCTTCCGTTCGTTCTTTCTCCTTTACTTTTTCTAACTGCAACGTTTATATACAACTTTTTCATTGTTGGACTGTCTTCTAAATTATTAAAACTTCTGCTTTTCCGCTTTGGATTGAAAATTAGCTCGTTGATTTGCATACCTTCAGTGTTTCCAAATTCTTTAGTACTTTCCTCGAAAGTTTTTGTATTCGCTTTTTCATCTTCAACTTTCTGGGCTGTGTCTTCACAAATTCTTCTTTTTTGATCTCTCGTTCGTTCTTTCTATTTTACTGTTTCTAACTGTAACTTTTCATGCGATTTTTTCATTTCTGGACTCTACTAATTGATTAAAACTTCGGCTTTTCCGCTTTGGCTTAAAAATTAGCTCGTTAATTACCATACCTTTAGTGTTTCCAAGTTCTTCAGCACTTTATTCAAAAGGTTTTGTGTTCACTTGTTGAACCTCAAGTTTCTGGTCAGTGCCTTCACAAATTCTTCTTCTAGCTCATTTGTTTCAAAATTTGGCGTTCATTTTTTTAGTTTCTCTTCGTTTTGTTCCTTCACTTTTTCTAACTGCGACGTTTTCCTCTCTTTACTATATTGCAACTGATTGAAACTTTCAATCGGCTCTTCACGTTTGGATTCAAAATTAGCTGGTGGTCTATTGGTTACAGCACAGTTGTTTCTTTGCCAAAGTTTTTGTACTTATGAAGCAGATGCCCCAACTGAAGATGCTCTCAAAGATAGCATTGTCCAACAACTTCGTACGTACGTAGTCTGAAGATCTTATTTCGACCAAAGAGGTTTCGACCCAAAAATCAATCACTTCGCGACAGTTTCGTTCTCATATATTAAAATGGAAATAAACAGAAATTGTAAAGTATGAATCCCAATTTATCAATATTTCTTTAGATGCTTTTGAGACTGTCCCAAGATTCCTCCACCATACAGGGTGTTTCAAAAAATTAGGGCGGAGTTGCGCAATTTGATGCTGAACAAAATTGAGGTTTAAAAGTTGGAAATCAACAATCCACCTCAGAAAGTTTACAGACAGCATTTTCAACACTTGATTTCGGTATTTTCGTGCATTAAATATTTTGAGAGTTCATAAAGAAATATAATGAAAGAGTACTGAGATCCACTGCATGGTAATTCTTACTTATTATGTGTTCTTCTTGTTATGAGTTCATACTAGCTGCTTTTTTGGACTTGTCTATTTCGGTAAAATTTCCCTTACCGTAATGCCGTAATTTTTTTGTGGTATCCAGAAGTGCACAAATGCCTGCAGGCGGCCTAAAAAAACTAAAAACTCCCTTCTTCAAGATGTTCGGGATCGTGATTATGGCGAGACAAACTCGACTTTGAGGTGAATCGCCACCTCTTTTTCCCGTGATTATCACGTTTGGTTGAGGCTTTGCAGAATGCTCGACTCAAATTCAGTCTTTTTTCTTTGCCCCTCTTTGTATTCCTTTTTTGAGATTTTGTCTTTGATTATCGACTTTGTGTTTCCAGTTGACCCTTGTTCTACCACCATCTCGGTCTCTTGATTCGTTCGATTCGGGCATTCGTTCAACTTCTTGTTAAATTTATTTAGATTTTTTCCTGCTGTTCGTGTAAATCTCCGCCTCTGCAATCGGTAAACGGTAAATTTGAGTTGAAAAACCACAATAGCTAAAACGCTGGTCCGGCAAAGGTGACTCGGGCACACAAATTCATCGGAGCAAAGCAAAAGCAGCGCACCGGATGAAAGAGCACTTTAAAGGTTGGGGTTACGTTCGAAGAATGTTGCGATCTTGAGCGCAATTTAAAACTCATGCATAAACAACAGTTTTAGTTATTCATTCAAGCCCTAAATGTAATTTTTGTTAACCAAATAAACTGGTGAAGATACATATGGACAATGAAACGCGCAGATTGTACAGAATCCAATAGGTGGGGTTGTGGTAGAGGTTTGAAATTATTGTTGATGTCTAAAGCGGTTTCTGTGCCCGATAAACCCAACCCAGAAAAGTGAAATTCGGCCGGTCGATCTTCCGTATGTTGTGGCAGATGACAAATCTTGCCAGCTATTAAAACTAAACAGATGTTGCAGTATCACCCTTTGCGTAAGCCGGAATATTTTTGGAAAGTTGCCTGTTATCAAACGAACGCAATACCTGCAGTCTGCTGAAAAACTCTGGATAACAACTATGCAGGTTTGTGCGTGAAAGCGCAACAAACCGCAAATGAAGGAATTTGTCTCATTTATCTAACACCTTGGCCGGTTGAAATTACACCAGGATTTCACAGTGTGTGTGTATAATATAATTCGTCATAAAGTCATTGAAATTGTCACTTCGGTATGGTGGTCTAAGAACAATAGAAGCTTTTTTAGTGCTGTTTTCTTTCATTATTGAAAGAAACTTAAAGTCCTCAGAAATGGAATATTGAGTTGTTCGGTGCTAATGCCCGTTACAAAATTACACGGTTATTAAACATTGGAATATTGAACCAAAATTAATGTTCGTTTCTTGTAATCAGCTCTGCGGGATATCAGATATATCAGGTTTAATAATTCCTTCGGCTGCATCCGGTCAAAGATGAAAGCATTAATAATTATTCGCTCTATGAGCCGAATGGTACCGGTGCTGAGTTGGCTTAAGGAAAAATATTTACCTCTAACTTTCAATGTGAGATGCGTGTGGTTCGATATCAGTTGAAGGACCTCCTTATGTACGGCATCGTCCACTGCGAATCCATTAACTCGAATTATTTGATCGCCAATCTGGAAATATTTGACTTCATTATTACAAGTCAAGTGAAAATTTCATGAAAAAAACCCCATGCAAGTGCACCGTCAGCAAAAAGGTAAATTACAGCCTCATAAACCGGAAAGTCGCTAATTCCAAACGGTACACTGAGCATTATTTTTCAAATTAACATATTCAACTGCCAAATAGTCTCCTGTGCTGGTTGCGAGTTGTGCTTTTATAATGACTTGTGAAACTGGTTTTAGAGGATACAGTACTTAAATCCGTACTGCGGTACGATTTTTTTTCGTGAGCCAACACTATTTTAACTACGGTTTATTGTATATAATGGCCTCGCTATTTCAAGTGTGAGATTTCGGAGAATCTCACTCGCGCAAGTAATGTTAAAAGACTGGCTTTCGTTCTGGTCTGAGTTTCTCACACTTGTCAATAGGGCTCAATTTATATTATTTATTGGCCGCAGAATGACAAGCCAATTCGAGGGAAATTCATTATCCAAACCCTTGCAGACAGGAAAATTGAACCATAATTACTTATGGCGATCGGTATAAATCAGGTACCCGGCCATTTCTGTCATGAGCATGAAGCATTAATAATGCTGCTTTGGAAAGCTACATAGTTTTCGGCGGAATAAAATTCGCCAATTCGCAATACCAGAGACGTGCGAGGAAATCTTGAATCCCTTGGCTGAAAAATCGTTTTAAATGGCAAATTTAATGAAAAGGTAGTCATCAACACGCATCGAACCACTTGCACACATTACGCGAGTACTAGTAAATGTTAAAGGAGTGCTGGCGGTGCTGCAGGTTATTTGTTTCGCAAAACCTATAAAGCCCAGTATAAGCAAATGTGCGATTCAGGGAAATTATTATGTAATGAAGCCCCTACTAATAAGCTAAACAATTAAGCAAGCCGTTGATGATGACAGAACTGAAATGTTTGAAAACGGTACATTTTCCAATACTTTTAGCAAAATTACAGCACATTCAGAAATTTTCGCACGTTGAGAGCAAAAGCAGACCAAACTTTTCGTATTGTCACAGGATTTAATGAAATTAATTTTGCTGTTGAAACTGATTTGCTTTGCCAGGATCAAGTTGGGTTTTTTGGCATAAAAATGTCCAGTCTTTTTGTGCCCCTCGGACAACACCCCCAGTGAAATGACGCCAATTTGGAATCACCCTGTACAGGCAGGCAAAAGTATATGCTTTCGACCCCAAGTCTATATAAGTTAGGTCTGGGTAATACTGTGTTGAGTTGCGCTTTTGAGTTGATGCCGTTCTGTGAGTTACTGACTTGTAACTCATCGAGCTTCATTGCGCTTGTGACAGAATAATCGTTGAAATCAGAACTTTTAAAGGACATTAGTTGAAATTTCGTTGGTTTCTCTCATCGCTCGGAAATTGAACAACAGTTTCATTTTTCATCGATTTTCCCGCGGTCAATATGTTTAGAAAAACAAAATTAATCACTCCAGCTGAGTGAAAATCAGGCAACAATAAATGGCTCTAAATTCAAAATTAATTTAGTGAAAGATCGGCAATTGGAGCGTTTTTTGAGAAAGTTGGATAGAGAAATTTGGCTTTGGAAATTTTGCCGTGAAAACAGGAACTTTCTACAAAAATGTCAACAATAAACAAACTGAAATCAAACTGCCAAGTAAAGCATGAATCATCGAAAGGGCGAACAATTAAATGATTAAATAATCATGTTTATTCTGTAGTTCGGAGGTTTTCTTCGTCAAGGCGTCTGAGTTTTTACAGTTTGCTACCGACAGGTTCATTGGTGGTTTTTCTCGAAAAAGTGTATGAATCTTCAGTTTGGGTCCGACACTAGAGGAAATCAGTCAATAATCGCATACTTAGCTGGGAAATATAGAATCATTGTGGCCCTTATGGTAACTGAGGTAGTTTGGGAAAGTGTAGTGAACTGCAAGAAGTTCACTTTAATAGGTAGAAAATGGAGGATGGGGCGCCAGCTTGCAAAAAGCTGCTAAGATGATCTCTAATCTACAAATAGCTTGAACTGAGATTAGTTTTCCGACAAGCTACTGAAGTGGATGGATTCTTTAAATTTATATCTCTTTGCTTTGCTGATTTCAAATAAGTTTGATTTTGGAGGGATTTCCTGCTGTACTAAACACATTTTCTTCTTTCTTTTCAGGTAGCACTACACACCTTTCGGTAAGTATAGCATTAATTTGCCCCTGGTTGCCATGTACATGTAGAACTTTTAGTCCCATATTCATCAATTGACTCGTACGTAAAGTGGATTTGGTATCGCTTGAGCTATTGGTTCTTTCGCAGTTAATTTTTAAACTTAGGAAATATTTGGGGCGACTTTATATATTTATGTTAAGCTCATCTGAGCTTTTCGCTAAAGAATCGCTTCAGACATGGAAAATTGGCGGGTTCCAGTATTCAACGCAATTAGCATCAGCTTACTGGAAGCTTACTGATCATGTGGACTTAGTTCCGATTAAACCATTGATGCCTTCACAAGAAATTTTCAACCTTTGGGAATATTTTGGGCGGCTTCGTATTTTTACATCAAGCTCATCTGGAGCAAAGAACCGTTTCAGATATGCAAATATGGGTTGCAGTTTTATGTTTTTTGTTAAGTCAAGAACACCCAAGAGTTAGTTTTGCCTCTTTTTTTTTAATAGCGAAATCGACTGAAACATGACGCCACCTGTTTTGACGTTGCTCTAGAACTATTTGGGTCACAAAAAGTCAAACGAAATTTGAATATCAGACATTTAGGTGCAATTTTACGCTTTCTACAGAATGTCAATCTTCAAGTTTCTACTGGCTTTACTTTAGAAGTTGGAACTGTTTAATGAAGATGAAGAATTAATTTTCAAATCAACATTTACGAAGAACGCAAAATTCAGGATTTCTTTGACTTGCATGAATCTTTGAAGGTTTGAAGGAATTTTGACGGCATTTAGAAGGCACTCTTCTTTAATTAATGCACAATTCTGAACCGGTGAGTTACTGTGGCGATGCGTTGGGTTGGCGCAACAAGCCATTAGGGCAACACGGCGCCAACACCTGAAAACTAACTGAGTTCCCATGCCTAATATAAGTAGAAGCTATAAGCCACCGTAACAATAAAATAAATTTCATTATCTGCATATCCTGAACTGAACTTTATATTCTCGTGCAGTTCTGCCATTGAAAAGTAGTACTCTATCGCAATGCGCGCAATGATTTCCAATTGTTAATGACTGGTTTAATCTCTTCAACATTCCTTATGCAAAATGTCAGATTTTTAACTCGCGTCGATCGATCTGCAAAGTGGGTTGGTTCGTTGGTTGAATCTTTTTTGAAGTAAGCAGTCGCGTTTTCTATCCGGTAAATGTGACCAGAATGTACAGCTTCTCTTAATTAAAAGTGTTGATGAATGCGTTTTTGGCCAAATATTTGCATCACTGTGAATAACAAGAGTTGAACTGAATGATCAATATTCTAAATAGTCCGGGCGACGTGTGATTGGCATACTAATCGCGGTTATACACACGGTTTAACAGTTAGGTACCATTTTTTTTATTCAAACGTTGAATATTTCGCTGGTGTTGCAATTTTTCCACATGTCCGAAAGTAACATACTTTGTCCAATTTTCCCTGAAAATTTCAAACACTTGAGGAGATTTTCATCGCATTTATTCCCCTCTGTAGTGCACACAGTGTTGAATTAACCGTATTATCATTATGCAAAGGAATCTGCAGCAGTAGCAGCAGGGAAAGTAGTTAAAGTTCACTTTCCTTGACGATCAGCGCAGTTCAAATAACCGAGTCTATTTGAAATAATAGTGGGAACTACACACAATTAAACCCACTCACTCAATGGGCACACGACTGTCGTAATTGGGTTTTGAAAAGTGAGACGATTTTATAATTTGCTGGGAAGATGTGCGCTTTGTCAATGGACTTACGCGCAATCCTTGAGCATGAGCTTCTGAACCGCTTTCAACTTGCGACACAAAGATACCAGTCCCATGCTCGCGGCCACCACGGATGCTGAACCCCAAAAATGGACCATGTCGAAAACTGAGGCCGGGCAATGGGCCATGGGCAGGTCTCACCAATCTAAAACACATGAAACTTTTTTCTAAAACTATTCTTTCGAAAGGTCCCGAATGAGGCGCGCCACTCTGTATGTGATTTAAGCTAATGTTTCCATGCCTTTATTGATAATCAATGTAAATGTTCGCCAGCCTGCTTATAGAAAATCCTGAAATTACCATATGAGAAAGCTTGAAATCATAAACAAACAAAACTCGGATCATGTGCAACGATTTTTTGTATTGTTTTTGGTATAAGTTAGTCATAGTCTTCGGTTCTGCCGTAGGAGACTTATTCCTAATGGCAATTTTCGATCAGAGTAAATACTTGAGTTCACTTTCCACTTGCTCAAATCTTCGGCTATTAGCACGTGAGAAAGTATTTTCCATATGACGGATCAGGCGGGTGTTAAATTCCGCGACCTCGATCCCGAAGAGTAAACGTTAAATTAGAATTTGATTGGTGGGCTCTCGCGATAATCATTTCACTTTTACGAAATTAAGGACGCGTAAAAAATTGTGAAATGATTTAGATTGTTCGGGTTGATCGACAGAATGCGGACAAAAAACAAGTGGAAATCAACTCCGCGTACCCACCTGACCGTTCTGATCCTGTTGTTGCGACTTCCACAGCTTTCACTCAACGTGTCCGAGGACATGGTGGAACTGGCATATTTGTGCTGGACGCCCACACCAACTGGTCCATAATCCACAGATAGCATGTTGCGGCCAGCCTGTAAAGGAAGAAGTCTGCATTAGTTTCAGTCAAGTAGAAAGCACTGACCAATTTGGATATTGTCGTACTTAAAACAAATAGATTCCGACAATGGAATTTCTCGTGCCAATAAAAATGGCTTTCACTACAAGCGCGCTTATAAGAAAACCTGTTCAAGATCATCGTTTTCCCGCTAATGGGTTGTTTTTCACTTGAGCAGAAACCCATCTGGTATGATTTTAAATAAACAAATAAAACCCAATTTCACCAAGAAAGGAAAAATCAATTACAAACGATGCAGCAGAGCCTCAAAAAACGCTCCTCAAATAATATTTTATTATTCAGAATGTCTAAGTTTTGTTTTCGGG